GTTCATGTTAAGTTGTGAGTATACAATTGAACCCTTGTCATATACGTAAAGCTTCATTGATAATCTTGCCATTGGTCATCTTGCACATGTATATTATCATGACATTTACTATTTTTCCCATATGGTTCTTAATTTAACTTAACCATTAAAGTTATGTGTTTAAATTTAAATTCTTGCATAAGTAAAGGGTGGGTGAGAGTTACCAAGTAACTTTGCGACTTTATTGAGTGGTTTTGTCTCCATATGTGGTTATCTAGGCAATTGTCTAACACGGGCCTTTGTATTTAGTTTCGATCATATATGCATGAAAGATATTTTGTAATTGAACACCTATATGATTATTAATGGCATTTCATATTAATGAAACCATATTTTAGTGCTTCATAGTTAGTTTCCTACTATTTTGAATGAACAAACCTTTAGCCATTAGCCGATCTGTTTATTTTTTAAAATATATCATATCTCACCAAAGAAATGTTGAAGGTTTTTAATCGATCTCAGCTCTATAAAAGTCCATTTGAATTAAGTAATATGGCCATAAACAACTTTTATTATAAATTGTTCAATGTGACCAAGGAAACAAATAACTCATATATGTGCTAAGTCAATCCTATGTAATTTGGTTATATTTTGAAACTGTGAAATTTTATTAAGTAGAAATTTCTGCTATCTATCGTTATAGACAATTATGCAATTCTGACACATGTTCAAATTTACTTTAATTGATATAATGTTTTAAAATATATGTATATATAATTGAATTATGATTACTAGTATATCTAAGGGGCAGAATCATTTGAGATTTCGTATGTGTCGAGAAATATTCTGGTGCATATAAAGCATGTTCTGGTGGCTATAAGTCATATTCTGATGCTATAAACATAAAAGTGAGTTATAATGGGCCATAATACTTTTGAGGTTATGTCTGGAACCGAGATATGTGATATGACCTGCTTTGTGATATGAACTGCTGCATAATATGAATTTCAATTTATTTAAGCTAAGTATTATTATTTAAATATTTGAATGATGGATATCTTTACTTTTCTCAATATAATAATTTATTAAACTACATTTAACTACTTTTAAATTTTCTGAAAATAAATATTTAGTAAAATGACTAATAAATTATGAGAAATGTCGATGAATCACAGAACAAAACTTCTTGACCCTACATGCCACAAATCCAAAGGGATATGTCGGCCTTAGATGAGTAAAATATGATCCAAAGTTGTGTAAGAACTAGTTGTATATCCTCTAACAATTAAAATCATGAAGAATATAAGATTTTGTTCAGAGTAACATAATGCATGATCAAAAAAGTGTTTCAAAATCAATATGCACATGTCGTTAGGTCAAAGTTAGTCAAAGTAGTTTAGATATTTAATTAAGTGTATGCATAATATAGGCAATAAATATAAATTATGTAGATCATTACAAGTTAATAATAGTTCGGAGAAATAATTCAATAACTCATGAGGTCATTAGGTGCTAATCACATTAATATGTGTCATGTCTTTAATATGTGATATTGAAATCATATAATAGGGTTAGGGAAATGTTAATTGATATAAAATGATCGTGCCACCTACTGGCATCAAATGCCCTTGAAGTTAAGTTCACTTGGTTCCTAACATATTGAAGGTTTCCAACAAGAATTAAAAGTCACAAAAAGTTATTCACTTCTAAATAATGATCCCTAGAATTAAATAATAATAATCATCATCATTTTACTAGTAGATTAGTATTTCCATTTAATTTTAATAAATTTCAATCAATTTTTTTTTTCTAAAATTAGGAACTCAATCCTAAACATATAATAAATTTGAGTTTCAAGAAATTTTCCTTTTTTATATATTTATGTCATTTGGATAAAAATCCTCAAAATTGAAGTTGAATTGGGGAAAACTCTATCTCCTTTTAAGTTTATTGAAAAATTTCCATGAACATGTGATTTGGATGTATTATATGTGAGGGCTAATCTATCACTCAACTAGTGGTGATAGGAAATACGTTAGTTTACATTTAAGATTTCTTTTGTAGGATTTTGGTTATTTTTTCAAGCATGATAAATCTCTCCTAAAATTGGAAATATTTGTACGATTCACTTGCTCCCGCATCATTGAAAATTTGATCATCGATGATTCATCAACAATGGTGAAGAAGAAGAGAAGTAACGAGGGAAGAATGAAGAACAATTATTAGAGAAAGAGAGAGATTATATAGTTCAACTCTTTGCTCCTTCATGTTTTCTAAACCCTAAATTCTAAAGACTTTAACCAATGAAACAAAACAATAGAAAAAGATGATTCTATATGTCAAAAAGCAAATGCAACTCACCTAAATATCCTAATAATCTCAAATCAACATGGAAAATAAATAAGCAAAAATCCAATATTAAATGATCATGAAAGGCTTACACTAAAGAAGTAGAACCAGCCACAGCACCAAATATTCCTTCAATCAACATACCTATGCCCTATACATTAAAAAAAATATAAACAAACAAACCATAACAATAAGAAAGTATTTCATTAAATTTCTGAAAGTTTCATGATTTTTTTTTTTTAACTTGACAACTTCCTATCACATGAACTATTTTTTGTAGATTTTAAATGCGCTTAAATTACTTCAAAAGAAGAAAACTGACAAAATCATCACCGCCTTTCAATGACCATATGGAATACAATAATTTCTTTGGCAAATGACACATTCTCCGATCAATGTAGATCTCTCATCGGTAACATGTACCAAACAATAGTGAAAATCTTAGGTAAAGTTATTTGGTTTAGGATGAGATTCATTTTAGCCTTCAATCATGTCTCATAGGAAGAATTGCGCGAGAAAAGTCACCCTTCCCTGTGAGCCACTATAACATGCAAGTGATTAACAAGATTCGAGATCAACTTTATTAGAGGTAGATTAGGTTCATTTTAACAAGATTTTCCGTGATGTTAATTTTACTTGAGACATATTAGGTTTATTTTAGCAAGATTTCCAATGATGTTAAGACTATAATTTATAAAGATATCGAGTCGAAATTTTCAATCGACATAAGTCCTCATAGTTAATTATCCTTTTTTTAAAGATTTTTTATTGACCTACAACAATCAATAATTATTGTATATCACTTTTGATTGAATGTTTATGTACTCTCGTGTGTTTAATGTGTGGGTTTAAGTTATGGATTAAAAAAAAAAGAAGTTTAATAGAATCAATGCACACCTAATCCACCTCCTCTTAGTGATAACAAAAAAATCTACACTAAAGGGAGGCCCTTATAGATTTCCATGGAGTGCTCTCATTTGAAAGTTTTTCGTAGGTTGAAATTTCTTCATGCAAATCTTCTAAGAATTTTAATTTTGTAGATTCTAATGTAAAAAGAGAGCAACTTATGGTTATAAAAACTTCATAGGATCAAGCACAAATCCATTTACAAAAAGCCAAATCCTAAAGCACTCGCATGATCGAAGCATCTAAAGATTAAACTTTTGAAATTTAATTTTGGGACCAACCATAATTAACAATTTTATAGTCAAAATAATTGCCTCCTTGTAATGATTCAAATGAGATCAATGTTAGACATTGGTGATGTTTGAGACTTGAATTGATTAAATCGACTCAAAGTTGTAATATAAATGACCCAATCATTTACACTTAGGTTTCATTTGGGACAGCTTTTTTACAGCTTCTTAAAACTAAGTTTTAGTACAAAAATATGAAGTAGTAGCGAAATTAAGTTGCTGTCGACGAGCATCCATGTGGCATAGGCTTGAGATTTGTCGTCTGGCGGCTGTGGAGTGGTGTCAGTGAGGTGGACGGCGTAGTTGTTGGCGGAGACTTGTTGGAGAATTTGGATTCTCCATATAGCATAGTTATCTATGGTTAGAGGTTGAGGTATGAGGTTCTTGATGTTGGAAATGATAAATTTTAGAGGAGCCGGAATGATGAGGTCGGTGGTGTTGTTTCTGGCAAGAATGGTGGAAGAGGGAGGGAGGGAGGAAGAGGAATCTTGATCCCCCATTTAGGAATAATTATTACGTCCTCTGACCGGACGTAGAGCTACGTTCGGCCGCCAATAACATGTCGCCACGTGCTCTTACTCTTTACCGCGCGGCCCGACGACTTGACCCGGACCGGAACCCGGGAATGCTATGTTCGCATATTGCGAGGTATTACTCAGTATTTGCTCGGTATTGCTAGTTATTGCTTGGCAATAACGAGAAATACCGCTCTGTGAAGATCAATACCGAGTAATACCTTACTCGGTATTTGCTCGGTATTGCTCGGTATTTGCTCGGTATTGGTTATTGCCGAGCAAAATCGACCAATACCTAGCAATACCGAGCAATACCTAGCAAAATCAAGAAATATCGAGCCATCCTGGGTCCGTTCCGAGTCGGGTTGTCGAGGCGTGCGGTAAATAGTGAGAACGCGTGGCGCGATTCTATTGGCGGCCGAACGTAGAGCTACGTACCTGTGACCGACCAAATCAACAGTTCCCCCATTTAGGCTCTTGAATACCATGGAAGACAGCCAAGAAAAGGACAGAGAGGAGTCACCAGAACACAAGGACAGAGCCGGGACGAAGCAGGAAAACAGAGAAAAGGAAAAAATGTCATTCTATACCACAAAAGAGATGAACAGGCAGTCCTTGTTAAAAATAGAAACTAAGGGTAAATGGACATACCACTAAATGACAGGTACATGATAACAATAGAATATACATGCTAACACATTATACTAAATTCCGTTTTAAAAACAATTAAAAAAAGTTGTCCTAACATGAAGTTCATCACCCAATAAATCTACTTATTTAAATAACAAAAAACTTTTTTATAAATATTATTTATTTTACATTGTACATTTAAAAAAGTAACATCTCTAGAAAATTAAAATGCACTGTTTATTATACAGCAACGCTGATAAGCCATTATGATTAACAATCCAAAATTTTAAATTTATGATCAAATTGGTAATTTTGGTGCTGTTCCGCTTCCCAAAGACCAAAGTCTTGTAAGAACAAGTTTCTACCAAGAACGCTCTGTATTTTACTTCTCGGTGAGGTAACCGGATGCGAACCTCCATGGTCACCGTCTTCTTCGTACTAACTTTCGCTCTATTCCCCGGATTCCACCATCATCGCTTCCCGCGAAGAAAACCCTTGTAGAGAAACTTCTCTCTCTCTTGAGCTCCTCTCACGCTGCAAATCTCGCGTTGCACGTTTCCAGAAACTTGACCCTTTTATGTACTTCTCTTCTCTTGCGAAGATCTCTCTCTTCTTCTATGCCGCTTTGGAATATCATCCTCCGTCGACTCCCCGACGCGGCATTCTCTCTTTTTCATTTCTGGAGGTCCTGATATAGGCGCTTGGTTGCTGAACAATGGCGCTTTTGGCTGGCTTTCTTGTGATCTGCCTAACGTTGGGGTGGTTTTGGGAACCCGGGACTTGTGAAGGGAACGAATTTCGGCGAGCGTAAGTTCCTTTTTTTATGAATTTTGTTTGTTGTATTTTTGGATTTCCCGAGTCGCGGCAATGTCATAATAGAAGTTTATTTGAGCTGGAGCTAGTTTGTAAGCATAAATCTCTACACTCCATCACGCGGGAATATAAGGTTGTTTGGTTTTGCGAATTTTGTTGATTTATGAATCGGATCCAATGGGTTGAATCTGCCAATCTGATTCTTCTATTGCTTTTTTTTTTTAATGTTGCCGGCTTGCATCTTTTTCTGTTTTACCTTCATATTTATTCATGATGTTAATAAGTGAATCTCTTGAGCTAAATCTGTAGAAATTGTACCTTTTTTATAATGCAATCTTATAAATTTAGTGACAGTAGTTGCTTTGGGTTAATCAATCTTATAAATTTTATAGGATATGGTTCACATAACCATGTATACATGAAGCAATGTGCATAGCTTGAAACGTTTTTTGGTGATTTATTTGGTTCAATACTTCAATGTTATGTTGATCAAAGTGTTTTCCATATGCCATTGCCATTCATCTTGCAATAGAATCTATGAATACATTTTGTTTGATTTAATGTTATTTTGCTTAAATAATGTGATGTTATCTATAGCAATTAATGATACTTATTATCTTGTTTTTTGTTATTTTGTTAAGTTTTCGGTTGGCCTGATATGTAAATGTTGATTGATTTGGTCGATATGGTGATATCATCAAAATATGACTTAAATGTCAGTTATGTAATTGTTGTTTAAAAATGGTAGTTAATCAAACAACTGAGACATGCTAAACATGATATTATATAGCAGATGTCAATGAACCAAACACCCTGTAAAAGATAATATTACTTGTGGGCGATGCTTTCAAGCTTGTATCCAATTATGGAAATAAAAGGTCATTGATGTAATCAATTATTTATTCACAGCATTGATCATATTTACAGGTTTCCTGTTGTGGAGCCAGATTTTGGTCATACGAAGCTCCGTCTTGCAAGAGAAGGTTTGGAGGCAATTCGAAGAATTAGATCTCCTATAGCAGCTGTTGCTGTAAGTTTTTGGGTTTTGTGATTTTTTTTATCCTTTTGCTGAATGTAATGGAGGCTTCTTTTTCCATTTGGAATTTAACCTTTATATACATCATGACATGGCTATGTTTTTGTACATCATAACATGGCTATACTTTTATATATCTTTTCATAATTTATTTTTTAATGTTTGACAAGGATAAAGACAAAGTTTGGTTCAAAACCAAAAATGATTTTCTTCAATGTTTTATTCTTTTGCTTCCTGTAATGTAATAGGTTTCACCCCCCCCCCCCCCCCCCCCCCCCCCCAAAAAAAAAAAATTTTTTCAAAAAAAAAAATTTTTAGTAAATTATTTGATAAATATGAATGTTGTTGGAAGAAGCATGAATACAAACAGTTATCATGCTATCTTTGATTGATTTCAATGAAATTTTTCTTTTTATTTATTGCTAGTTATAATAGTTAGAGCAGCAGTTTTTAGCTTGTTGTATGCCATTGATTGGTGTCAATGTGAGCTTTCTTTGTATTTTTTGGGTTGTTTGATATTTATAGCTGTTTTCAGTTCTTTTAGATTCAGCAATCATTAGCTATATAAAAAACTTGTGTTTTGAGTTTGCAAAACTCAGTTTTAATGCATTTATGAAATGGTATGTATTACATATAGAGGGCAATCAGCTCGTCAAGTGCCGTGTTATTGGGAATAAGTGGGAAACAGATACTTGGTGAGTTTTAGAAGCGAAACTCAGGTAGAGCTATTACAGTAAAATTGAGAATTAGAGTTTAGGAGGGAGATTGAGAAGAATGAAACACCTTGTTCTTCATGCTTCCAACACCATCTAGCAAGAAAAAAGAAGACAATATATAAAAATGTTTCATGCTCAGCTCCTACCTTGCATTGACACGCAAGAATATGAAAAAAAAGTTCTTGGAGATCCACAGTGTCAACTATTTGCATCAAACATGGTCTGCTTCAGCCGTGCAACATATTTGTTGGGGGGCATTTGTTGACCTCAATACTAGTGTCGGGGTATAGTCGACAGTGCATGATGAGTTTTGAAAGTAAAATAGCTGAACGTAAAATAGCTGAACGTCGTGCGAAACTCACTCGACACTCGTCGACCTAAAATCTAAATAGCCGAAATGGCCTCCGTTAGCGAAACGAACAATGCTGGCTCGTCCGAGGCAAATGACATAGCTATGATCAACACTCAAATTGACTGGGTTGTCGTCTTGTCGATCGGTGAAAATTGGAGAGAGGCTCAGGAATTGATACCAAAGGAGAAGGGTCCAAAGCAGAGTTTGGAATATCAACCAAAGAACCATTTGCAATTGAAGGAAGCAAATAAGCACAATGATGAAAACAAGATGAGGAGCATAAATCCATCAAAGTCGGGAAAGCAATTTGAGAGGCAAAATTACTTCCCTAGGTGATAGAGGGACCTAGGGAGACAAACTTTATATGAGCTTAAGCATGGGAAAAGTCGGTTTCCATGAGGTATTAGCAAAAGGAAATGGGTGGATGATGCCAAAATAAGTGCGATAATTAGTGCACGCATGATAGAGCTACTATGGTCACAAAGACACTTATAGATAGCATGCCAGTTGAGGTTGACCAAAAGTTGCGATTCACAAGTTTGTGGTGTGATAGGTGAAGTAGGAGAGATCCTAAAGGAAGCACGCCATCTCACAGGCCATCACGAAAGCAAGTGACGGAGCTGTTGGTGGAAGCTAGGTGCCAAAGTGAGCTGAATGTAAGAGACTTGTAATATAGGGTATCAGGTTAAGAACTTGCTAAATGCAATTTAAGTCTAACTTAAGTGCGGTTGAATATTAGTTATCATACATTACAAATATGAAAAAAATCAATTGATTATCAATGCCTTGATATCTTCAACATGTTAACCAAATCAATACATATGAGGCGAAGTTTGAGAGGAGCACAACCTTAAATAATTTAATAGTATTTATTAGATACTTTTAGTTATAATTGTGACTTTTCCATAAATAAATCAACTAATAAAATAATTTCTTTGAATTTTAAACAAGCAAATAAATTCCACTACAGGAAATTCAGCTGTTACCGGTGGCCTTGACCGGCGGTTATATAGCCGTCGGTAATAATGGCGGTTTGGCCGCTGGTTAATTCCGGCGGCCTAACCGGTGGTTATTTAAGTATAGGCCGTCGGAACTAGCGGCGGTCATATTACTTCCTTAAGCCGCCGGAACGCTGCCGGTAAAAGCCCTAAAATTAACAAGCCCGAGCCTCCCATTTCATTTCTCTTTTTCCCTTCTCTCTCTTCAGCCGTGCTCCCCCGTCGCCTCCGCCGCCTCTCGTTCGACCGAGCGGCTTGACAACCGCCAACACCTGTCTCCGGCCGCCGACCCCACATCGGCCGCCCTCGAAGCCTCATTGCCTTGCCGCCGTCGATCTCACACCGGCCGCCCTAGTGTTTGTGGGAGTTGAAGGTAAACCGGGAGTTGAAGGTAAACTTGAATGATTTTCTATGATTATTTGTTCTCACTAGCCATTTGCTAGAGTTTGTAATCTAGTGTATGCTTAGGTTGTAATCTAGACATTTGCAAGAGGTTGTAATCTTGTAATCGTTTGAGTAGATCTAAAACTGAATTTATTAAGTGTAATTTTAGTAATGATAGATCTAATGGGTGGATTGTGACTTTGGGTGAGAGTAAGATAGCAAGAGAGATAGATAGATAGATAGAGAGAGAAAGAGAGAGAGAGCTAGAGAGAGGGAGAGAGATATATATAGAGAGAAAGAGAGCAAGCAAGTGTAAGAGAGAGCAAGAGAGAGGGAGAGAGAGTGAGGGAGAGATAGAGAGAGAGAGAGAGTGAGAGAGAATTTGCCGGGTTTATTTTAAGCCGCCGGAAATGTACTCTAACCGCTGTAATTTGCCGGCGGTCTACCGACGGTTATAGTGTTTTGACTGCAGTAAATAACGATACCGGACGGCTGATTGACGCCGCCGGAATTTTCTTTTAACCGCCGGTAATTTATCGGCGATTTACTGACGTTGTACGACGGTTATCAGGCGATACACCGGCGGTGTCTACCGCCGGTATTTTACCGGCGGTATGCCGACGCTGTCCGGCGGTTCTTCGGCAGCACGCCGGCGGCTATAATCGCCGGCTAACCGTCGGCTAACCGCCGGTTAGACACCGGTAATAAATCCGGTGGTTTGATGGCTGGTAAACCGCCGGTAATAAATCCGATAATAACCGGCAGTATAGGCCGTCGGAAAGCCGTCGGCGAAATAAACCGCCGGAAAAAGGCCGCCGCCAAAGGTTTCCGACGCCGTCTTTACCGGCAGTTTTGGAACCACCGAAAAGATGCCGATTATTTTTAAAACCGCCGGTAATTGCAGGTTAACTGCCTGAAAAAACCGCTGGTAATAGCTGAATTTCCTGTAGTGTTCATTGTGTATGTTCTGAAAATTAGAAATATTTTTCATGACTATATATCTTTTTAATGTGTTATTCATTTTGTAATTGATAAATTAAAATTTATTTATTTAAAGCATAGTTAACAAAGTATATAATGCTATTGGTTGGATCCTCGTCAAAGGGCCATTGAGTCCCCCATCATCCACTGACCGGAATGCATTATAATACAAAATTGCATTTGTATATCCTTGCCTTTTGTCCATTTATATTTAACTATGCTTATAAGATTGCATTGATAGATTTTCTTAGTGTATATGCAAACACATTGTCATTGTATGATTGTATCCCATCCTCGAAAACACATTGTCATTGTATCCCATCCTCACACGTAAGTTTCAGATTAATTAAACTTGAAACACATCTATTGGGAAAAGCATATTGCTGAAGGTTAAGGTAGATGTTTTTTTTCACGGATGGAAACAACTCAAAAGCTGCGACATGTGCCATATTTGGTGGGATACTACCTTAAATAATTTAATATTATTTATTTAATACAATGCCCTCATTTTGATGGGGCAAAGAGATAATATTGAAGGAGCACGATTAGGGGTGTAAGTGAGCTGAACCAGCTCGAACTTGAATCGTTAATGAGCTCACGAGTTGAGCTTATCGAGCCACTAGTTTGAGCTTTTATATCATACGAGCTCGAGCTCAACTTGGCTGGGCTCATAAGTTTGTCGAGCCGCTCGTTTAAAATATAAATCTAATTTTAAAATAATATAATAAAATATATACTAAATAATTTTAATTATTTCATGAGTCAAGCTCGAGCTCTCTTAACAAGGTTGAGCCTAATAATTTTCGCAAGAGCCGAGCTCGAGCTCAGTAAACAAGCTCGAGTTCAACGAAAGTTAAACAAGCTTAGCTCAATTAGGCAGATACTCGATTCGATTCAACTCGTTTACAGCTCTAAGCACGACCTTACATAATTTAATATTATTTATTTGTTACTTTTGATTATAATTATGACTTTTCTACAACAAATCATTAATTAGCTATTTAAATGATTTCTTTTAATTTTTAAACATGTAAATCAAATGATTGTGTATGTTCTAAAAACCAGACAAGTGTTCAACGTTTAGATAACTTTTTTATATCATGCCTTTTCTGATTGATAATTTAAAATTTATGTATTTTAACTATAGTTGACAAAATATATAATTCTATTTGATTGGGTTCTGGTTAGATATCCATTTATTTAACCATACCTCACCCTCTGATTGGAAGGCACTAGAATACAAAATTGCGCACTCATATCCTTGCCCCTTCGTCCATTTATATTTAACTATGTTCATAAAATTTTATCTGCTTGGTTTTTATTATTATGTATACCCGAATTCATTGTATCCCATTCTCACTCTCAAGGTCCAGATTGATTGAAGTTGATTAAACATTTCAATTTGTAAAAAAATATTGCAAAAGGTTTAGTACATGGCTTTTTTTCAGGGATTGAAATCCTCAAAAGTTGTAACAGATTGCATATTTGATGGAAGGGCTTTAGCATTCAACTGTCATATTGACGTGAGCAATGTGAACTCTCTCTCAATGCTAAGTTGTATTCATCCATGAACATGAGATGAACAAAGATTGCAATGCAAAGAAAATAAAGTTTAAGCATTATGAGAGAGCCAAGCGATTAGACCACTAGAAGAAAAGGGCTATCAAGGTATGGACAAAATGTTACTAGCTGATACCTAGGGTTTTGGTACTTCTAATTCCTTGGACAACCATGCTCCTTCCCTTTGGGTTTTATGCAACACCAATGCAAATTTTGTCCTTGTATAGAAACTAAAAGTTTTCGCTTGAGTAGATCTAAAACGGAATATATGGAGTGTAATTTTAGAAGTAATAGACCTAGTGAGGGGATTGTGACTTTGGGCGATCAAGTCATTAATAAGAGTACATAATAAGATGGTAGTGAGGCCTGCAATGCTTTATGGTGCTGAATGTTGGCCATTAAAAGAGAAACATAATACTAAGTTAAATAAAAAAAAAAAAACTAAGTTAAGTGTGGCAAATATGAGGATGCTCAGGTGGATGAGTGGTTTTACCCTTAGAGATAGGATACGAAATGAGCATATACGTGAAAAGGTTGGAGTACCTCCAGTAGAAGATAAGATTAGAGAGAGTCGCCTTAGATGGTTTGGTCACATAAAACGGCGGCCTTCCAATGACCCGGTTAGGAGAGTAGAGGTATTAGATTTGACTTATGTTAAGAAAGGTAGAGGCAGACCTAAAAAGATTTGGTTAGAAAATATTAGGAATGCCCTTTCTTTTTTAGATTTAAACGAGAATTTGACCTTTAATAGGACACAATGGAGAAAAATGATTCATGTAGTTGATCCCACGTAGTGGGATAAAGGCTTGATGTGTTGTTGTTGTTGTTGTTGTTGTTGTATTACGAACATAAATGGTTTGGGAAGTTGGTTAAAGAAGAAAAGAGCGGCAGGTTTTGGTAGTGTTAAAAAAAAAGTATTATAAATTGAACTTGGGTCTTTACAAATATCTACCATATTTTGTACTCGCAGCTATGAAAAATATACATTTTAGTCTTATAATGCACCCCAAGGATGCACGCTTACATGCTACATACATGCATAAATATACACTTTACTACAACATATGCCTGCACAACAATGAATTCATACATGTTTATCAGTGAAGATTGTTTTCAAATTAAGCAGTGGCTCTAAGCTTGGGCTTCCTGATACCAGATTTTGGTATAAATCAAAATAGAGCATTTCCAATCTGAAGCGTCACTCTCAGCCTACTCTACAGCATCTTCTAGTTCCTCAGGGTTTTCAATTTTGAAAGTCTGATGTGCTATTTAATCATTTTCACATCTGCTTTCTCACTTAGGGGGTTGTATTAGATAGCATGCATTCTCTTATCTCCTTTGCGTGATCTTTCACCAGCATCACATTGCTCCACCGTTATTCAACATATGTGTGATTTAAGACCGTCTGGGAGCACAATCAACGATGTATAGTGAGGAAAAGTACTGGCTTGGGTGTGGCTTGCTATTTGGATGTATAGGTTGGCAAGCTTTTCCTTCTTACTCTGGTTCACAGAGTGGTCTGAATTGCAGGCCTATTTTGGTCTGCAAAGTGCTCTATCTCTTGATTCTACATTTCCCTATGATGCGGTTGTTAGTCGTGCAATTCCAAAAATTTCATACAACTTGGATTTGTTTTTATTATAGATAATAGCTTATTTTGAAAAGAAAAGTGCTTGTGGAACTTGGTGGACACATTTTTTTCTTTTGTACTTTTAGTGGAATAACTTCCGTCAGATTTTAAAACTATCATCACCTACATACTTATTTAGCAATGTAAAATAAGCAGTTCTTCTTTTTTGCTTATAATTTCATATTGCTTACTGTATCAGGTCATTGGTCCATACCGCTCGGGCAAATCATTTCTTCTTAATCAACTTCTATCTCTTCCATGTGATAAAGGTTTATTGTCTTGAGCATGGTTTTCTATTTCCACTTGGCACTTCAAGATTTATTTCATTATACTATTGTTTTCTATTTGAGTGCATTTCTTTTAAGGTTTTGGCGTTGGACATATGCGAGACACAAAAACAAAAGGTAGAACGATGCTTTGAAAAACACACAATTTCTGTTACTAGGGAGTTATTTTCTTGAGAAATCTTTAGTAATAGCATAGTTTTACTGTTCTTTGGAACTTTGAATATCATTGAACAAGCAGAGTATTTTCTTGTAGGTATTTGGGTTTGGGGGGATCCAGTGGATGTGGTTATTGATGGTGTGAAAGTTTCAGTCCTGTATCTTGACACTGAAGGTTTTGAAAGTATTGGGAAGTCAAATGTATATGATGACAGGTAGAAAGCTGGAAACTGATTCTTCTATAACACTTAGAGATCCTTCCTGCTGTATTGTCTACTATTTCCTCAGTCTCTCTTCCCATCATTACAGGATCTTTGCTCTAGCAACTATCATGAGTTCTGTGCTTATATATAATCTGCCTGAGACGGTTTGTGCTCTATCTGGAGGCAAATTCTGTTGGCTTTTATTGGGTTCGAGTAACCTCTTCCAAAGTTTAATGCAGAAGTTTAATCTAATCCTTACCTTATATGGGTTAATTTGTGTTGGGTATTTATGTTCTAGATTCGTGAGGCTGATATATCTCGTTTGTCATTTGCTGTTGAAATTGCTGAAGAGTTCTATGGCAGGTTTGGGTTATTGTAGTATTTGTTGCTTCTCAGTGTGTTCTATAATTCTTTTCTAACTTTTCTCATATCCTTCCTCGGCGGATCATTGGTGGGCAGAGTCAAGGTAATCTGCAGACAGTTTATATCAGACGTTATGGTAAGTGCTTGATTTCAATATCTAATTGCTTTTGTTATTTCTGCAGGGCCAAGATGTTGCATTTGAGCCTGCTAAACTCCTGTGGCTTATTCAACGCGATTTCTTGCGTAAGTTTTCCCTTTTTTTCCTTTTCAAAATAAGTGATTATCTATAATCAGAATGAACTATGATTGTACTTCACGCACAAACTAAATATAATTTCATTCTTAATCGAGAGTGCTCTTATAATGCTTTAGGAGAGATAATTAACTATGAGGGCTTGCACTCATAGGAAGTAGGACTCAAATCTAAATAAATCGTAACATTGTTCTCAGGGGAAAGCTGGTTAATTTCAAATCAAATCTACCTCATGAAAAATTGGGACCTTAAGCTTGTGAGAGGGAGGTTTGCACACATATTTTTTCAAAGCGAACATATTTCTGCTGACTTTTTACTTGACGTAGGCTCCTCAGCTGATTTCTTTAAGCGGATGAGTCTTTAAATTTAATTAATTAAAATTGACTAATTATATCATAAACTTTGATTATTTTGATTAAACTCAATGAGTTTAATTATTTGATTTAATTATAGTTTATAAATTAAAATTTAGTTAAATTTAATTCAAATTCTCTGGACACTACGGTCAATGTGTTGGTAGACTGAACCCTATAGTATTCCCGGGATAACGGAACTATGGGATCTTGATCGGGTCTACCTTCATTCCCCACAACTAGGGCTTAGACTACTCACACATTGTTGCACACACATTTTGTACTTCACGCGCAGACTAAATATAATTTCATTTTTAATCGAAAGTGCTCTTCTAATGCTTTAGGAGGGTTAATTAACTATGTGGCTTACACTCATAGGAATTAAGACCCATATCTAAATAAACTATGACACTACTCTTAGGAGAAATCTGGTTAATTTCAAATCCAATCTACCTCAGGGAAAACTGGGACCTTAAGCTTGTGAGAGCGAGGTTCGCGCGCACATATGTTTTCAGAGCGAACATATTTCTGGCGACTTTTTACTTGATGTAGGCTCCTCATCAGCTGACTTCTTTAAAGAAGTCAGCTGATGAGTCCTAGATCAATTATAATTAATTTAATTATATTTGAAATTTTAAATTTAATTAAATAAATTTAACTAATTAAATCAGAAACTTTGATTATTTGATTTAACTCAATGAGTTTAATTATTTGATTTAATCATAATTTAAATTAAAATTTAGTTAAATTAAATTAATATTCCCTGGACACTACTAGTGTTGGTAACTTAACTCAATTCTTAAAAATACAGGATACGGGTACGGCGCGGACACGACATTATAATTTATAAATCATACATAAAAATTAAGAAAGCAATCAAAACATAATATTTGAAATTACAAAAAAAAAAAAAAAAGACAACAACATCATTTGTAGCCTTGTAGCTTATAATATCAAAATATAAGTAAGCATTAAATGTCTAGTACAACAACAAAAGCATAAACATAAATTATCTAACACATGAAGTTTCAACTATTCAATAGAAGGAATGATATAATTATCTTCTTCATTGGTTTGTCTTTGAACTTCCATATCATCTTCAATAAATATCATAGCTTCTAATTCATGCTCATCAAGTGAAAGATTAATAATTTCTAATATTTTCATATCATCAAGAGACTCAAATCCATCTCGGAAATGAGAGAATCTTGCTCGCAACCACGGAAGTAAATACGACACGTTTTTTTTTTCAGATTTCTTTTTGTTTTTCAACGGACACGCGTATCAGATACGCGTGTCCTTTTGAAATTAAATAGTATTTTATTTGGATACGTCTTTGGCGTATCCGACACGTATCGGTGTATCGGATACAACACGCCTTCATAAATAGGTGTATCGGTGCAACATAGGACAGAACCATGGGATCTTGATCGTGTCTACCTTCATCCCTCACAACCAGAGCTTAGAACATACACACACTGTTGCACACACATTTGTACTTCACGCACAAAGTAAATATAATTTCATCCTTAATTGAGAGTGCTTTTCTAATGCATTAGAAGGTGTAATTAACTATGAGAGCTTGCGCTCGTAGGAAGTAGGACCCATATATAAATAAACCCTGACACTATTCTCAGTGGAAATCTGGTTACTTTCAAATCCAATCTACCTAAGGAAAAATTGGGACCCTAAGCTTGTGAGAGCGAGGTTTGCGCGCATATATTTTTCCAGAGCGAACAATGACTTATTGGGTTTTTGATATTGCTTAATTGCAAATTCCATTAGGATTTTATGATATTCATTGTTTGCTTAAGCTGCTTTTAGTGGAGAAGAAATATTTGACTTTAACGGATGCTTTGTCAATAATCTTGCCAGATATCTATTTTTTTCCTTCAATTGATGCTCTTTCCTGTGACCTTTATTTTGAAAGTTCAAAAGTTTTCTCTGAAGCATTATCGCAATTTAAGAATATGGGATAATATCATGCATGGGATACGCCATGTTTTCTAAAATTGGGATTACAATATAGATGAGTCTGCCAACGTACAAATTTGAATGTAGCTTAAATAAAAGCGAATGCATCCAACAATCTGCACGAGTGCACACATACAAACAGAAACAATAATGTAGTCACATAGCGCGCACATTGGTTGCAAGAGCAGAATAAAGAAAACAGTAAAGTGACTTTCTCGTGAGGAATATTTTATATACCATGTTATTAGCTGAAGTTAGAAATGTAACTTTCTAGTTTCTTCAATATTATTTATCTGGTTATGTTATGATCTAACTATTAATTTGTAAGATTAAAAATGGGTGTGAGAACTACTGTTTTCATTGAGAATATGAGAATCCTTAAAATATTTGGTGTTCAGTCACCTGTTTAGAAGTAGTATAAATGCTCCGTTTGTGTTATTGTGTATTAAAACAGTTGGGTGAGTTTTTTTATGATTTTCAATGATTAATGTACGTCTAGGTTGTAGTTTAGAGGGAGGAGGTCAAATTCAAGTTGCAATTTTACATTGTTTTAGGAAACATACAATTTAACAAATGGTGTTCTCAAAACCTACTAGTTTTCTGCTCATTAAATAACTTCTAAGCTTGAATATCTGGGAATATATTTAAGCACAATGCTTAGTGCTAACCTCATATCTTAGTTTCATACCATGAAGTTGTGACTAGGATATATAAGAAAAAATCATATTAATCATTTACAACAACAACATTAAGCTTTTATCCCACCACGTGGGATCAGCTGCATGAATATTTTTTCTCCATTGTATTCTATTAAGAATCAAATTATCATTTAAATATAATAAAAAAATGGTCGCCGTTTTGATTTTACTGTAATTTTTCTATTTGTTGTTTGCTTTTTTTGCTAGGGGTGTCAAAATGGTTCCGCAGGTTGGGTTAGGGTTGAACCCGGATTGACTCGAGTTTAAACGGGTTGACCCAACCTGACCCGCAAACACGAAATGGGCTCAGTCGATTGCGATTTCTCCTTGCTAAACTGACAGTAGATCTGATGGCTTCTACAAGAAGCGGCGTGAGTCGAATGACTGACCGGTAGAAGATCAGGAGGCGGCGTCTTGAGGTGGTTGGGCCGGTTGGAGCTGAAGGAGGAGGAACTGGTTGCCTCTTGTGTCTTGAGGTGGTTTGACCGATCAGATAGCGGCGTGACTGGCAACCCGCGGCTCAAGGTCCTTCAATCTGGAGAGGTGAGGCTTGCCTGCTGCTGCTTGCGTGAGTCATGAGATCGAGAGAAGGAAGGAGAGCCGGTGAGGCTTGCCGCTTGCGTGAGTGACGTGAGTCGTAAGATGGGAGGGTAGCCAGGTAGTGTTTTCTAAACGGATCAACCCGGGTCATTTTCGGGTTTTCGGGTTAACTTGAACTCAACCCGATTTTTAAAACGGATCGACTTGCCGAACCTGAACCTGACCCAACAGGTTGATCCGAACCCAAAATTTTTCGGGTCGGGTTTCAGGTCGTGTCAAATATTGACACCCATAGTTTTTGCTTCCGAATCGGATCATACTTCTCTATCATACCTTTTAATAAATTTATAGCTTCCATAATAGACCCACCTGACATGAATCTAAATTGATTTTGAGAGATAATAGTGTCATTTCGCAACTTATACTCAATAATTCTCTCCCATAATTTTAATGTATGACACATTAACTTAATTCCTTTATAATTCACACACTCTTATGCAGCACTATTCTTAAAATAAGAACCAACATACTCCACTAATCTAACATCTTTTTAGTCTCCAAGATAATATTAAAAAGTTTAATAAGCTAAAAAATTTCTTTTTCTCCTAAGTATTTATACACCTCTATTGGAATATCATGAGATCCAACTATTTTTTCACACTTTATTTTTCTTTAAAGTCTCTCTAATTTGGATTTTACTAATACGTCGATAAAAACAAAAATCTTTATTTTCATGTGGGGTGCTAAGGTTATTAAAGTTAATCATATTCTCACAATTTTTGTTTAAAAACTTGTTGAAATATCTCATCCACTTATATTGAATATCCATGTCTAAGAAAAACACTTTTTAATCTTCATCCTTAATGCACTTCACTTGAACTAGATCCTTACTTTTACTATCTCTTTGCTTGGTTAGCTTGTACATATATTTTTCACCCTCCTTAGTATCTAATTTATTATATAAATTATTAAAAGTTATATTCTTTGCATCATATATTATTTTCTTAGGCTCCATACATGCCTCTCTATATTTTTTTTTCAACTTTCTGAACTTTTACATCTAAACCAATTTTTATAACAAAGTTTTTTTATTTTTGATCTTTTCTTGCATATTTTGATTCCACGACCAACTTTTTTTATTATTTGGACCTTTTATTTTTGATACTCCAAGCATAATGAAAACAACTTGTCAACTTTTCATTTAGCACTTAATAAAAACAACTTGTCAGCTTGTACTATTCTACAATTTGTATCAAATGTTTGCAATTGTTGGATAGAAAGTGGCTGTTTTTTTTTCCAGGAAAACAAAATAGTGCAAAAAATTAATTTTAGATAGTACAACTTCTACTGCACGCTAGTGAAAATTCTCAAGTTAGCTGAGATGGTTAGGTAGTCATTCATGACTCATATCAAAATTTCCCTATCTTTGTCATGAAGTCTCATCCGTTCAATCAATAGTTTCTTGAGTCACTGCCACTATGGGACTTTTCGACAATTTGCAATCAAGAATAATTTATTACAGTTACATATGAAAGGGTGTTATACAATGTTAGTTGTTTACGATTGGCCATATTCACGCCAAAGTATATTTTTGAAGGTTCATATAACTAGAACACGATAGGACATATTTTTGTTATAGAAAATGGACTTGGATAGTTTGTTGTTTGCAATGAAGAGCTAAAGGTTCTCCTATAAGCTAGGGACATAAAATTAATTTTAAAGGAATAAGACGGTAAGTGGGTTAAGCAAACTTATCATGTTAGCAATTGCTTAGAATTTTAAATTAACTGAAGTTAACACCAATGCATTATTTAACATGAATGAAGGACAAAAAGGGACTCTTAAAGATGAATCAAATAGTTAAGATGATGCTATTAATGATGATGATAATGATAAATATTTTGGGTGATTTCACACAGAAGGGAAATCCGTTCAACAAATGGTAAATGAAGCCCTTCAGCGAGTCCCCAATGCTAATGGTATGTTAGACCTTCCTCCTAAGTCATGTGCTTATTATATACCTTGTCAATTATGTTGAAATTAGGTTGCATATTTCTCTCTCTTTTTTTTGCAGGGGACAAATATATTGATCAGGTATTTTTTTGGCTGGAATATCTCTCATATTCTGCTAGTTCTTTTTATTGATTCTCTCTCTCTCTCTCTCTCCCCCCCCTTCCTTTCAATCTCCCTCTTTCTCTTTCTGTAACGATTCCTTGTAACAGGTCAACCAGATTAGGGACTCTTTAGCCATCATGGGTGATAATAGCACAGCCTTTAGCCTACCTCAGGTACATATTCTTGTCTTATTTAGTTGATAGTTTTTCTTCCATTTTCGATACATCTAGATTTATTTATGATAAAATGCAATCATTTGACATTTATGGCATTTAATGGATGTGGAATTGGTTTGTTTTGTAAAGATGACCTAAGATAAGAACCAGACGTTGACATTATCACCTGGTTGAGAGGCTTGATGTGTGCTGAAACTTTAGTGTTTGAATGTAGTTTTTGTGTTTTTATGGTTGTGAATGTTTGTCTATGTGAGAGGGAGGATTGAGGGTTGTGTTTTGAAATGATGCACTGAGAGTGATGATTAATAAACAAAGATTAGCATTCTCACCAAATTGATGACCTTATGTGTGTGTAAGAGTGGGAGGGATACAGGATTTGTTTTGAAAAGGCAAGGTAACATTGATAGTTATGAACCGATCATTTCTATTCTCAATAATTTGTATTCAAGCTTCATGAAACAGGATACAGGATTTGGAATTTCTGTTCTGTTGATTTGAATTTCTGTTGGGGGGGGCGGTGATTTTCCAAAGTTCAGTTTACCACTGAGGCCTTTTTTAATTGAGTTGGCATAACCATTTGATATTGAATGCTGGCTAATAGTAGACAATTCATGTTACAGCCTCATCTGCAAAGGACAAAACTTTGTGACATGAAAGATAGTGAGCTTGACCACTCATATGTAGAACGAAGAGAGCATTTGAAACAACTTGTTACTTCAATCGTACGTCCAAAGATTGTCCAAGGAAAAACCCTCAATGGGGAGGAGTTTGCATCTTTCCTAGAGCAGGTGTTTTTTCTCTTTAACTCATTCTTGATGCTAAATTTCTATTATCACTGAACAATGAAGTGATCAGCTTAGATGCATGGACAGAACAGATATATTAACTAAAATAATAGTTGGTCTACATTTTTGACTGAGCATCCTTTTTTTATCACTGTTACTAAATGGATTCTAGATTCTTGAGGCATTAAACAAAGGGGAAATTCCATCCACTGGTTCTCTTGTTGAGGTTTTCAATAAGGCGATCCTTGATAGGTGCTTGAAGCTATACAATCAACAAATGGATAGGTTGCATTTGCCATTACCTGAGGATAAGTTGCAGCTGGCCAACAATGATTCAAAAGTTGAAGCAAGAAAGCTCTTTGATGAGCAGCATTTTGGTCGACATCATGCTGAACATTCTGCCTTCAAGCTTGAAGAAGAAATGCAGAAGGTACGATTGAGTTCAGCTAAATAAAATTAAACCAGTTTTTTTTCCTTTTCTACATTAAAATAAATGCAATCTTTCTTTAGCATATAACATAATTCATTAATAATCTTGGTTTGATTTGATGTCGGAAACTTTTTCAATTGCCTAAAGTGAATCTTAAAGAGCTGTTGCAATTTCCCCTTCATATTCTTTTCAGAAATTCCACCAATTTTTTTTTTTAAAGAAGAAAAGAGAGTTTATCAACAATTAAAATTTTTCTCTATTGCTGTTGGCTTCAAAAATATTGTTTTCATAATTGTCACACCATCATCATCGCTAGATTATGTTCTCATTTCTTCCTCATTGTTCCTCATCCTTTTCTTCCTCATCTTGGTTTTCCACATCAAGATTTCCCCTTTTGATGCGAACTAAGAAATATGATTAATTCATCCCAACTAATAACTTGATGATCATCCAGGTAGAAATCTATAAGAAATCTGAAACAAAAAAAAAAATCACACTTTAATCAGTATTAACTTCTCAATCATAAAATTTTAAATGGGACAACTTTGACTAAAATAATTCATTTCTCCAAAATAAATCACACATTAATTATAAAAAAGATAATAAGGAAATAAATCACCAGAATAAAGTTCAAAGTTTTGCACCGGAGTAAGGATTGGAATTCCCTTATAAATTTATTGTCACAATTTGTATTAAACTCGATGAATTCAACATTCAATAGGCACCCATACTTGAAAGAAAAAAGAAAATTTATGAAGCAAAAGCGAAAACCTCAGTATGTCTTATCTATGTTTTACACCCTATCTCTCATGATAAAAAAACTAGAATTCTATCTTTAATTTGATTCATATCATCATATGACCCTGGGGGAATGCCACCAGTAGAAACCACATGAAAATGTAACAGAAAAACGCTGAAAATAACACATGGATAAGCACTACAGGTGATATGCACATGATTCGACCATGTCTGCATCTATAATTAGCAAAACCTAGTTGACTTCCCTATTAGTTGTAACAACAAAATTTCATAAGAAGGTCCAACAATAAAATCACATAGAATCAGTCTCCCACGGCAAAACCTTAAGATTCAGAGAACTATTACCTAAACTAACTACTGAACCGATTCAAGCCAACACAAAGAACCAAATCGAATCAATATAGATATTAGAGGATACAACCCATTCTCAATTAATGTCTACTTGATTGATATGTTTTAGATAGATGGACTAAAACAAAAAACTACTAAAAAATAAGATATCGGATAAACTAACTAAAATGAAAATTAGTGTTTAATTTACTAATTTGCTCCTTTCACGCGAAAGATTTGTATTTTCGATTAGCGCAGACTTTCATATCTCTATCTCATAACTAGGAAGATATTTCTTAATGCTAAATGAAGCTTGAGCACTGCTTGAGTAATACAAGTGAAACTAATGTGCGAATATGCTTATAGGGACCTATGAACTAAACTACATTAACTAGTTTGTGTTGAAGAGTGATCTTATAGAAGTTATGCTAAATTTGTTCAATCAAGAAAACATCATCCAAATTCTATAATTATCCAGATGACTCAAATCTAACTTCTTTGATGTTTGAATATACTTTTGGTTTTATATGATTCAGATACTTTATCCTAATAAAATTATATACTCTTGTACCTCTAGTCAAAATCATTGCTCAGATCCCAATGTCAGAAATTTAACTTTTTTAAATGTTTATGCAGGTTTATAAAAATTTTGTTCTGGCCAATGAATACCAGTCCTCAAAATTGTGCGAATCATTGTATACAAAATGTGAAGATAAAATGGACCATCTTCAAGCATTGAGACTTCCATCTATGGCTAAATTTAATGCTGGATTTCTTCAATGTAACCAAAGTTTTGAAAAGGATTGTGTTGGCCCTTCAAAAAAGAGCTACGAGCAGAGAATTTCGAAGGTTAGTCTTCCCTATTGTCATCATTAATATCGATGTTTGTCCTTTATTTGGAAATGCATTATATTGAATGATAGAACATCTCAGTTTCTTTTAATTGTCATCATTTATGCATGGTTAATTTATAATCCTGTAGCTTGGGATTTTTATTTTCCGTTTATGGTGTCTAACATATTCTTTAGCATTCCACAATTTATGGTATATGTGGTGGATATGTGATGTTCGTTGTTTTAAATCATTTAATGTTTATTAACGTTAAATTAAGTTCATTTTGTTTTAGTTTTTGATCAAGTCATTGAATATTTAGCATTTTGGAGGGATGTCCAGTTTCCTACCATAGATGCCTTAGAAGTATTATGCTGGTAAATCTTCATACATATATAACCTTTTCTAGTCATTTGTTGCCTTTGTTTACCATAGATGACTTAGAAGTATTATGCTGGTAAATCTTCATACATATATAACCTTTTCTAGTCATTTGTTCCCTTTGTTCACAACAACCAGCCTTGTAGAGTTGAAATTGCATCATCATCGGTCTTATGCCATTTATAGCTATTTGAAATTAATGGATTCTTATTCTTTATTTGATCCTATTGAGTATCCCTTGAGATGTTAAACCCATTTGATGAAAATATTTTTAAACTACTCCTTTTTTAATTAACTTCAGTTTAACCTCTTTTTATTTCTTTCACTCTAATTTTGTCAAGTTGTTTAATTAGTTTATTTTCTACCCTCTATTGTATGTGCCCAAATCACTCAAGTCTATTTTCATTATCTTATATTTTGGAATACATGCATATGCAACAAATCTTCTTATTGTTGGAATCCATGGATTAATTCCAAAGATGAAAATTAGGTTCTTGTCGATTCATGACAACCCACATATTCATGTCAAAGAAAGAAATGGGGATCCCATGGATTCATGCTAAGGAAATTCAGACCATGTTTTACAAATATATATATATAATTTTCTTATTTAATTCTTAGATCATTCTATATGTTGCTTTATACACATAATTTATGAAGTAAGAAGAAATTCTTCCCGATCTCTTGTTCTCCATATGGTAATAGGGCAATAGGCTCGTTCGATTATATTTCGAGCTTCATTTCCGTATGCATTCTCAACCTTCATCCTCGCATCATTCCTCAATCTTTATTGTTCAACATAAAGACCTATTGTGTCTTGTCACTTGTCTTGATTGACCTTTAAACCATTAATAATCTCTTTCCTTGTCATTGTTTGATTGACCAATTTCTTCATTACGTTCATAACTCCGATTTTGCTAGGATCAAGCTTCTCTGCATGATTCTCTCTATGAAATTTTTCTATCATTCTTTTATTTTAGTTATGTGTGATTTCTTCACATATATTGTCCTATGCAATATTGTGATTTCTTTTCCCATTGTTGACCCCCAATCTTTTCTTTGCATCGACTCCAATTCTAGTAGGATTTACATTACAATGACATCGAAAATCTTTTTCCACTCTATGCTGCACTGCTTGAAGTGTTGCTAGGATTACATTTCTTTCCAATGCTCCACATCATAACTCGTACATTGAATGATGACAAATTAAATTTAAATGAACAAATACAAAGGATTATGACTTGAACACAACATCAAAACAAAATCAAACTTAACCAAATGATGTTGGACGACAAGAGACTCATATTTGAACTTGAACTCATCTTGGACTTGAATTGAATTAGCACACTGGACTTGACCTGAACTGAACATGAACTACAGGGGACTCAAGTTTGACAGTGAACTGTACCTGAATTTGGACCCAAGTTTGGACAAAGACTTGAACAAATGACAGGGGGGCTCAAATGAACTGCAAGAGATTTGAACTTGAACTGAATGACATCACATGAAACTTGAACTTACACATCTAAGCTGAACTTGAACCCAAGTGAACCACAAGGAGCATTGACATTTAACAAATGATGATGAATCAGATGAATGACATTGAACTTAAAGGAAATTTGGACATAATCAAATGATTTGAAACACAATTTAAAATAAAAATTGTGATTTGGCAAGTTAACTACTTCAATTGGAGTGCAAATGAATAATGATGTTGAGTTTATCATATAAAATGAACCACGTTTGAAGATAAAGGACTTGCAAGCACGATGTGCTTATATATGTAAAAATAAGATGTTGAAAGATATGTTGTGGGTACAAAACCATGGCCTAAAATATTGTGGAGGGTGATAATTAATTTGCAATGCTAAACATGACTCGACCCCATGCAACAATCAGTAGGAATCATCACCTCAATTGAATGATTATCGTACAAGAGCTCCAATGGTTGTTGTAATTGACCCATGAAAGCTACTCCAGTAAAAGTGCAAATCTCCGATTGACCATAATGCTAATGAGTGCCACTCGTATCATAGACCAACTAGCTATGTGATAAGAGATCTATATCGTGCATCAAGAGCTGTTGGTGGGCGAAGACAAGGATACACAAACTACATATGCATGAAGAAATTGATAGCGAAATATAGCTCGATCAGTGGCCAATGACAAGTCATAGATGAGCGTATTGATGAAGAAAGGAGATATATTGCCGACACGATAGATCTCTAATGCATATAGATATTTGCAAGCAATGATGGATAATCATCCATATGAAGAACACTATATCTATAAGTAGCAATCATCATTGACAACAAGATGTACTAGTCCTCTCGTGAATAACAATAGTGAGTAGGCTATAAATCTAAAAATCTTTTTACGATCGACGTCCACTGTTCTGCAAATACACACAACAATCTTTATGAATATTGGAAGATACACAAATAAATGCGACAGTTCATCAACCAAGCACATCAATTCCCCACAAGCAGAAGGGTTCAATGTGTTAATTGCAACTAGAAAGACCCAAGATACAGTGAAAATGACAGGTTGATAGCTCAAGGCAGCGACCGCTGATTTCAAAGTATGGGACTTTAGTAGAGATACAATCATCTAAGGTTGAAATAACAGACTTATTTACTTAAACTAACAACAGAAAATGATAAGGATAACATAATCAGAAAATTTGCTTGTTGATTCCCATACGAGTTCATGGAAAATAAAGACAGATCAAGTCGTTGTTTTCAAAGATAAAGTGAGTGAATCCCAGTTCAACCAAGTTCTGAGTAGGATAAGACTATTGGGGCTTGCAATTTCCTCGACAAATAGTGGTCATGCATCCTAGATGTCATCCACAGGCAAATGCTGAAGGACTATGGAAAATATGAGTTCCTACTAGCTGCCGTAGAAGACCCATTATATGTCCAAAATGTACCCCACACGTGCACTGTAATATGTATGCACATTGGTAAACAAAAGGGGCAAGGGCAATCACAAAATCCACATGGGCCCCGATGAGCGTGTTATGGGTACACACGTGACGTCTAGGGATGCTGTCCGGGTCAATAAATAAACGTAAGTTCAAGCCTGATTTTTCTATGCGGGTAGATAGGAGTCGACATGCCTCGAACAATCAAACATATATACGGTCAGGGTGTTGACTAGAATATATGTTTTATACGTTTATATAAGGCCTTCAAGGTCGATGACAAAAGAAATTCATCAACAAATACTTAAAACATAGAGCCTACGAAACCCGATCCTCTGTCGATGTCTCGATAGAGTCGACAATGTTCAATCTACAAATGGAAATGACCCTAAACACCCCGATGATGGCCGCATTGAACGAAAATCTCAACCGGAGGGGTTAATTTCAAGTATTCAAATGCCTTCCAAGCTCCACCCAAATATTAAAAAAAATCCAAAAATTCCAAAAATACTGAAACCCAAAATGTTTAAAATTGAAATTCAACCATTCAAGCGCTTAAAGTAAGATGCATTCATCCTCCGCAACAGTTTGCCGGGGTGGACACATTGAAGTTTATTTCAGCTCACATAGAGCTAATGCATAGTCGGAAAATATCACTAGGATCCATTGTCAAACAATCTCTTGCTAGTATGGACGTGGTACGTGTCATATAACCGGCAGTTTTGCCGCCAAATGACATTGCAAGATAAACAGTTATGACCCAAGGCCTTCTGAACTGAGTGGTTTTGTCGCCAAATGGCACAACGAGATAACAGTTATGGCTAGAGCCAATACGTCGCTTAGTGACATCAAATCTTTGGGATATGAATCAATATGATATAATCAATAGGACACAAAGCTCTTTGTTAGCTAAGGTGGATTCAAATTTGTCCCCTTAGACAAATATTCACCCCAGGTCTACAAGGTCCCCTTGGACGAAGCAACCCATAGCTGCCGACAAGGATCCTTTTGTCAGGTTGGGTCGACTACCTCTCTGACTAAGTAGACCAAGGACCGCGATGGCCAGGGACACAAAACTATGGGATCTTGATCAAGTCCATCAATCATTCCTCCACCATCCACTTTAAGTGCAAGATGGTGAAATTTCAACTTTAAATATGAAACCTTTCAAATTCCAAATTCCCAAGCTGCTATTATATGCCAGATAACACGTACTTTCTACGTATCTGATCGATGACTAGTCTTAATTGAAAGTTCTCTCTCGTTATCGAGAGGGGTAATTAACTATAGGGGCTTGCGCCTATAGGAAACCAGAACTCAGATCTTAAAGTCCTCACAAAATGAGGGCAAAATCTTTTGGTAGTGTCTTATCTACAAACTCATATGCCTTTACAAAATTTATGCTGGAACTTAATTACATTAAAACTCCCCCGAAAAGCAGCGGGGGAGGCTGGGGCCGAATTTTCGGAGCCCACACATGCATTTATGTTTGACCAAAAAAATTGAAACACAAAATCGCTTGAAGCTTGCTTGAAAAATGAAAATTGACCTGATTTCAACCTCCATTTTGAATTTTAAACAAATTGAGTTTGGCTTCTCTTGCACGCTAAATATCACAAAAAATGAGTGATTGTGTGGATATATATGTGTGTTTGATATATGATATAATATTTTTATCTATTTACAGTCAACTATTAATCAATTTCAAATTGACTCAAAATTCATTTCAAGATGACAAGGAAGTGAATCATTTTGATTTAAAGTTGAGCTAAAATTAAAATTTTGAATTTGAATCGGGCATATAGCTCTGTAGAGCTTGACTCGTATCAACCATATGTATGTGTCGAGCTAAAATTAAAAATTTTGATTTAAAGCTGAGCTTGCCTCTTGTCACATTTCTATCTCCTATGCCACACGCATCATAAATCCTCTTGTTTCCCATCCTATTAGATTTTATTTCCTTGAAGTCACCTCTCTCTCCTCTACATATCTTAATAGTTCATTTCTCTCTTTCCAAAATTAATTTTTCAAATTATTTTCTATTTCAACTTGTGGAGTGTAAGCAGTGAACATATTTATAATGTCCTCATTGGTAATAAAATTAATTAATAATCTCATCTTTTAGCTCTATTCACTATCATTCATGTCATTTTTCTGTTGGTAATTTTTCCAACATGTAATGACTTATTATCCATTGCCAATGTCCTTTATCCCTTTTTGTATTTAGTTTCTCTCACACAATTATCATTTATTCTTCTTTAAATCCTTCTATCCGTCTATTCATTTGTATTTTTTTCTTTGAAAGCCCTCTAATTTTAAATAGCAAACGTAATATTTTAGTTTCAGTTCTGCTTATTTTTTTATCTTAATTGGGCGTCGAACACTTGAGACTAAATAATTGAAAAAAAGGCATTTCTTTTCACATAAAAATTCATCAAGAAGAAATTAAGTATCTGAACGTGATACATAGATATACGTTAAAAAAAAAAGTTTAAATGCTTAAAATCTTAATCCTCACTGCTCTAGTGAAACATACAAGAGTTTAAGCTGAAATTTTGTTTTTGCAGTCTTCTCACACTGATTCCATTTGAAAATTTTTGCCCAAATTTAAAAGAAAATTTACACCCTTTTCTCCTTGAAGTTTGAAATTACATTGCAGTTACTAAAAGATTGAAGTACCATATATGTTCTCTTTCATTTAAACGTTCTTGGAGTACACTCTTGAAGCACCACCAAACTAGCAATTCTTACATCATTCAAAAATTACCTTTTTTTTTTTAAAGAAAATTTGTATTCTTAGAAATTCCTTTTTGCATCTAAATAAAACCAATTACTGTCTTCAGATGCTTGGGAAATCTCGGGCACTTTTCATCAAGGATTACAATAACAGGCTCTTCAATTGGCTGGTGACATTCTCCCTCGTAATGGTTGTGGTGGGTCGATTTGTCATAAAGTTCTTTTTGCTTGAGATTGGTGCTTGGGTGATGTTTATCTTTCTGGAGACCTATACAAGAATGTTCTGGACATCGGAGTCTCTCTATTACAATCCTGCTTGGCATTTTATTGTAGCCACCTGGGAATCTATTGTTTATAGCCCAATACTCGATCTTGACAAGTCGGTTCCCTTCCTATCTTATCTGATTATTTCTACTCTATAACAACTGCAACATGATAATTTGCTGTTATTATCCTCAGTGTCTTATTATCTTATTTCTTTTTCATGGTAGATGGGCAATTCCATTGGGATCACTGCTGCTGATATTTGTTCTATACTGGCGGTGCTATGGGAGAAGGAAACTTGGTGGTAGATACCTTTTGCCTCTTTACAACACTCAAAGGAGGGGCTCAAGTCGGCCGAGATCAGACTAGCAGAGTTTCCATTACTATTTTCTCTGCGTTCACCAGGTGAGACTTCGGCTTCGTTTGGGACGGCTTTCTTTTCACTTTATAAAGCAGTTTCTTGGTAAAATTTTTTAATATTTGTACTAGAAAGCTGTTTTAAGAAGCAATAAGAAAGCCGTCCCAAACGAAATCTTCTTTTCGATGGACCTAGCTCTCCCAACAGACTTATCGTTCTAAATCAACATCTAGAGATCGCTAAGCGTAGGAGAAGTTTGACATATAACCGTTAGATGGGGCTTATATTGCTTGTAAAATTCTTTTGTTTAAATTATTTATTCACAGGGTTGCTCATAGCTGGAGAATTAGTGGGCAGCACAAATTTTAACCTGTGCTCCTGCATCTTCTTTCTATACAAAATCACTCCATGTTATTTTATTGTTGGTTTCTATGGAAAAAGGAAAACAAATACTTTGTACTGATAACGGCTGAAACCCAATTTGAAAATGTTTAATTCTCAGTTTTGTTAAATTCTTAAAGCTGCTGGCCTTCAAAGTCCTCAAGGGATTATTCTCATTAGTTGCCACTTGCCACTGAGATCTTTCTGTCTGTATGGCTTATTCGCGTGTATTTGAGAAGAACTGCCGTTTTATATCTAATTTTGAGATATTTCTCTTAGTGCAAGAAGTTATACTGATTTTCAACAGTTTCAATTCGACATGTTAGCTTTAGTCATGATTATTCTGTGCGGAGGCTGAATGTAACTCTATGTCCAGAGGCAAATCAGGTACAATCATGCCAGCGGTATTGAGTCGAGGTACCGAGCGAAAGGGTGATGTGTTGTATTCTGATTGATTTCTGAACGGCGTTCGACGTCCACACAGAATAATTTTTTCTTTAGTAGGTCTAGAGTTACCTGTTGGTATATAGTTTTTTTTTTTTTTGAAGAGTTCCACTCATCTCTCGTCTCTCTATACTATGCAAGTATGCAACTACACTCTGTATGTTCAAATTAATTTATAATTAGCCTTATAAATAGTTCTGTTTTGGTTTTTAGATCTCAATCATAAATTTTATTTAGCTACATTTTTTTTTTTTGTTTAAAATTTTTTTAATGTTAGAACAGCTTTAAAAAAGATCATAATTTTTATAGTAAATTTATAAAATATTAAAAAAAGTTTTAATTATCCACGGGCCTTTTTCCATTATACTTTTTAACGGGGCAGAATCCTCGTGACTTATGAGTCAGATGAACTAGAGAGAAGATTAAGGCTTAGTAACTAGAAAGAAGATTAAGACTTAGTTTGGGATGATTTTTTTTTTTGTTTTTTAAAATAAAATTTTAGTATAAAAATTAAAGTCTAAAACTAAAGGTGAACCAGAGTTAAATTAACTCAATAAACTACATGAAGAATTGAGAATGTAAGAAATTTTATAAAAAAAGCGCAACACTAGAGGGCGAACTAATAAGAAAATTTAGACTTAAGCTTTGTTTGGAATGACTTTTTTTACTATTTTTTAAATCAACTTTTGAATACCAAATTTTAAATTTTGTACTACAACGATCCATCTTAAGCTTCCGTAACAATGATATAAACCTTTCTTCCTAGTGCTATAAACGGACCGCATGTAGTTTCTCATAATTATATCATGAAGCAGTTTGTGAATGAACTGCACGGTGGTTTAAAGGATTTTTTTTTTTTTTTTCCGACCGGATTCGACCGGATTTCCACTGGCCTTGCAAAGGCGAGAAAGCGAGGGAATAAGGATTGTCTAAGGGGCTGTTTAGTTGCGTGAATTAGGAGGGTAAAGTAAAATAAATACATGTATTTATTAAATTCGGCTGTTTGATTAATTTTGAGGGAATAAAACAAAAACCTCTGAAGCATTAGGGCGTGTATTATCGGAGGCGGATCCCGCGACTTCAAAAGCCGCTCAAAACGAGCGGGTTTGAAATTCTTCGCCAGCCTCATGCCATCCTCCTGCGAAGACCGCGAAGAGCGAAGTTGAACAGCCAAGAGGGAGCCGAAGTCGAATAGCAACGAAGGAAAGGAAGGAGCGATCCGTGCGGTCTATCGCTCTCGCGCGAATGAACGAAGCCGAACGACGACAAGGAAGCCGAGAAGCGACGGTGCAATCTATGCACCCCCTTCGAATCAACGAAAACGAACAGCAACGATGAAAAGGAGAAGATGAGGCGAACCCCAGGTCGGCTTCCTGGGTTGGATGAGTTCGAACCATTCATGTCGTTTTTACCGTCGTTGACCATTCATGTTGCTGGGGTTCGCTTTGCTTTGCTCTCTTCGCCGCATCTTTTTCTATCTAATCTTGGAAATGATTTCGCTTTGCTTCACTTCCCTTCGTCTGTTGGTTTGATGTGATCTGATGTGGGATCTCCGCGATCTCTCATGTGATTTCCAGTTCTTATGGTTTATCGTTCCCGATCCTTCTGTAAGAGCAGGGACCTTTTTTTTTTTCTTTGTTAATGAATTCCAGATCTATCTGTGTTTGACATTGGATCTTGTTGGCTTTTATGTGAAGATTTTTAATCTTTATAGTGGGTGGTGCTGCGGATGAAATTTTAATGCAATTTGATTCAATCTTTTGTTTCTGAAAACACAAATCCTTCTCAGTCCATGACTTCATGCACCTTCATAATATACTTTCTCAGATGTTGCTAAATTTGTTAACAGAGATTTCTGTCTATTTATTCACATATATGGTGTCTTATTCATGTTTCACAAACCTTCTCCAAAGGCCAATACCAAAATAAATTATTAAAAAATGATTTTACTTTACTCTGGATATATCTAATCAAACAAGGGAAAAAAATTCTCCTGCGTTTATTTTGCAGACAACCAAACATGCTCAAAGTATTTAAAATGCTTATATTTACTTTACATTGCATTTACTTTACACTGCATTTCTTTTGCAGGCAACCAAACAGCCCCTAAGTGCTCGTCGCCACTGCTATCGCGAGTTCACCGGAGTTGGTGGAAGGAAGAAGAAGCTCCCCTACGTTTGCTCGGTCTGACGCCAAACACAAAAAAAAACCGCTCGGCTCCTCCCTGATCGACTCGCAGTAGATGGAATCGGCGCGCAGGCTTCCAATTTGCCTAGGTCGCACGCATAGGAGGCGCATGAACAGAAATCCCGCCCTTCTCGACCTCGGCTCTGGATACGCACGAACACGCAGGAAGAAGACCTGCTCACCCTCTCTCTCGTTCCTCCGAATCCGGACACAGGACCTAATAATTTGCTCGTTCGTCGAATTATTATGTCCGGTCAACGTCGGGACACGCAATCCAGCTGCGCCACGTCACCCGAATATACTGGGTCTCGATGTATTTTGGTGACGTGGCGCATCTGGATTGGTGTTTGGACGAATCCGGACACCGGACATAATAATTTGCTCATTCCTCTCAGCCAAACGGGAGCAAGCACAGGGGATGGAGAAATTATTGTGTGCGCAATCCAAACATAGAGAATGGTCGGATTGCTGCGTATGTATTATTTATTTGCTGCGTATTTTTTAATACACAATAAATGAGCGGCAAATAAGCATCAAATAAATAATACTCACTAAATACACAATAAATACGCAAAAAATATGTAGAAAATACTGTATTAAAAAATATGCAGCAAATAAGCAGTAAATACGCAGCAATCCGGACCATTCTCTACACGCGGACTGGGTAAATTATTAGGTGCAGAGTCCGAACGTAGAGATACATCCAGATTTCAATAGGATGTTGATGTGAAGTGGACATATGAATATTCAATTGAATTTATGTTTTACTTTATATTTTTAATATGTCCGCAAAATTTTAAGCCAATCATAGATAAATAACAATAAAAAAGTATAGTCAAAGCGCAACTAAAGCACAGATAAAACACAAATAAAGCGCACAAAAAATGCAACTAAAGCGTACTCCACGTGTCACATTTTAAGTGGATGTCCGGATATATCTCTACGTTCGGACTCCGCACCTAATAATTTCTCATGAAGTATAGCTATTCAAAGTTCTCTATTTTATGGTGATGATTTGGTCTTCTCACTAAAATGACTAGTCCATCTATGTTTGGTTAGATTGGCTTTAAAATGGGAGAGCTTCTTAATCCTTACAATGGAGCTATGGCCTTTTCCTTAAAATGAGTTGATTGACTTTCTTTTAATGTATTGGTTCAGTGTTAGAGCTTCTCAACCCTTACAGTGAAACTCTGATTTTTTTTTTCTAACAATGTGTTGATCGACTTTGTTTTAATGGATTGATTTCAGTGTGAGAGAGGCTCTTAATCCTCGTGGAGGATCTCCATTTTTGTTTTTTTTTTCCGAAAATGAATTGATCGGCAGTGAGAGAAATTTCTATCATATTTTGAAGCTCTAATTTCTCCTTCAAAGAAATTAATTGTCCTTAATTATTCTTACATCTTTCATGGGCTAAATTAAAATAATTAAGTTTGTCATCTCATTATTGGAGCTAAAAGGAGCTTTAAGATCAAAATTAAGAATGCAAATAACATGACCCATAGAGCTTAGAAAACATAAATTCTGTCACGGGCGGTTTCCATTTGGGGGCAAGAGAGGAGCGAAAAGGAAAATGAAAGCCGTGCTCGAGATCATGAGTCGCGAGTCACAAGGGAGGAGCAAAGGGGAAAACTAAGCGGGCCGTTTGAGTCGAGGGATAAAATTTACTCGAGATTCTTTAAAATATTTTTATTTCATCTTATTTAAGTGAGCTTCAAATTCAATCATTTTATTACAATTTCATCTAAAATTTACTGGAAATTCTTTAAAATAAAGTTTCAAATAAAAGCCAAAGCTTTCAACTAAACTTATGTATATTTTTTTAAACGAGACTTTAATAAAAATATAGAAAAAAAAAAACATTGATTGTAGAAAACAAAACACTTCAAAAATATATAAATAAACATATAGAATGTAATTATATATGCAAAGTTTTACTCCAATAGTATATGCATACAACATGAAAACTTTGAAAATTTAATTATCTGCTTTGTAAGGAAGCCTCCTAATTCTCAGTCGAGATGGTTTATGTGAGGCACCTTCCTACTTCCAATTCTGGGAAATGAATCAAAAATATTTGTTCTGTTGAATGATTATATGTATCTATGTTTTTATTTTTATTTTTTTCCTCTAAATTTTTGAGCGAATTAAATATAAACTCATAGATAAATCACATATACAATTTTAAAATTTAAGATGTTTTGTAACAGAACAAGATAGGTTGCATTCTATGTTGAACTTATTTTATAAAAAAAAGTATGATAATCATCAAAATTAGTAGGAGCATCCATTATTAAAAATTTAAATATGAGCAAATACGCTAAATTAAATAATGCATTTTAAAATATGTCAAGTTATTGAGCGCACTAAGAATACACCATTTAATTTGACGCATTACACTAGAAGAGAGAGAAATGACAGCGGGACTGGGGAGAGATATCACAGTGAGAGAAAGAATTAAATAATAATTATATATTTGAACTTATATTTTAAATAATAATAAATATTTAAAATAGTATTTTAATTAATTTTTAAATATTTAATTATGCTTTTAAATGATTTTTAAACATCAGTAACCGTTCTCTAACAAAGCCATTGGCTACAAACCGCAAATTATTGCATCAGGACATCGGACGCGGAGAATAGGTTCGGACGTCCAATAAAAATTTGTCACGTCACTTGCATTTTTGAATTGCGCTTTGACTGCACTTTACCTACGCTTTTGACTGCGCTTTATCTGCGCTTTATCTACGCTTTTGACATGCTAAACTTAAAATAATATTTTATTAATATCCGGACGTATCTCCGCCTCGGCTACAAACACCAGCTTCGTCATGATTTCGCTGCTTGTTGATCTCTTTCCATCCTGAATCATCGAATCGGAGCATATCAGAAAGAAAGAAAGAAGCCTAATTTGAATTCCATCTGGACGGAATCAGCTTGGACAAGCGGGTCCATGCCCTCTTTGAAATGGCATTTGGCTTCCCTGCGATCGACGATCGCAGGGCCAAAGCCTCAGATTTGATGTAAATGAGGCGCTCGAGATCCCCTCGAGTTCGAAATCTCGCGACTAGGAATCTTCAGAAGCTCATCTGTATCGTCTTCTTTGCCACTTCTAGGAAAGACATAATAAGAGGAGAGGTTCACCGGCGGCGAGGAGATGAAGGCGCCGGCGACGTGGCTGGTGGCCATCTGGTAGGAGAGTTGAAGAAGGCTGTTTGAGGGTTGAGACGAGACTAATAAAGAGAAAATGTGTGATTTTAGAGTCATAAAAATTGAATATATATATATATATAGGGGATTTTAGATGGTATATTAGTAAATATAGAAGTTTGGATGTTAAATATAGATTTTCAATACTTTTAGATGTTATGAATGTAAAAATTTCAAGAAACTTTTTATAAAAGTCATTATAAAGATGCTATGAAGAAAATATATATTTTTTAAAGTTATTATAAAAAACAACTCAGTATAAAAAAATGATTGAAAGTAGTAAATAAAAAGTGCTCAAACAAAAATTCTAATTATGATTTTAAAAAATAAAGTAATAAAAAAGCTATTCCAATCAAATCACTTCCAAGATTTTTCATTAGTAAGAAATAATATAAAAAATACTCACAATTGGTGTCTATAATATCTTTTTCAAACACTTATACCAAACACAGTGGCTCAATCATACACCCTCTAAATCTAGAGAAATCATTACTTACAGTCATCAGATCGTCCGAAGGCTAATCAGGACACGCCACATCACCCCATACAGGATGCACAATAAGTTAATGATGTGACGCGTCCTAATTAGGCTCCAGACTGCATCCGGTGACTGCATATAATAATTTCGCCTAAATCTAAGGTTGGTGACTAGAATACTCATCCAAATCAATATAATTACACATCGCCCATCTATCATAAACATTGCACAATTTAGCTCACAGTGACCACTACAGACATCACTCCAGCAATTCATCTGCGCAATAGGTGCCTGGCCCGGAGATTTGCCACTTTTATCCTTACGTTCAGTTCATCCACATCATTTTTCATATAACCAAGAGCCTTATTCTGCCTGAAAAAAAGTGAAAATTTTTCTTTTTAATTTCGTAAAATTTATTCCAGAAAAGTAATTAAGCAGATATTGGAATTCAAAGAACAAATTAACAATAAAAATTAGAAAAAAAAAAAGGAACTTTCTCTTCAAACCAACCTATCAATTTCAGAGCCCATATCAACTGCCATTGTTTTCAGCTCAACCAATACATTGCTCAGTTCTGAAACAGCAGAATTTTGTTTTTCTTTCTCCGCCTGTTTGAGATTGAAGAAAGGAGCAGAAGATATGAGCAAAAGAGCTGTGGATTACAGTTTGTCTTAACAGTTTAAAAAATGGACCTGAACTCTTTCAAATGCAGATGAAGGTTGAGAAGGAAGTTGCCGAGGATTCGATTGTGATCTACGAGGAGTTAGTACCATCTTTTGCTTCTGTTCGTGGTGATTACCCCTTCTTATGAAGGATTCAGCTGTTGATTCGAACCAGGTTACAGTTGGAAGATTTTATATAAGCGTTAGTACTTCAGTTTCTTTCTGTGATTTACCTCTTGTTAGAACAGGTCCTTTGATTTCACGTGTTATCCTTGGCTTCCATGATTTACTGAAGAGTCCCCCAAGGCTTCCTAAGAGTTTTTCACCCTAAGTAAGAGAAAATAGGATGAGGAAAGTTTGATTTATAGGATACTTTTAATCTGTATTAATCTTGTAAGATGAAAGTAATTTGACAAGGATATTTTGATACAATTTGTATCCGGATAGGTTTGAATATCATTTGATTTCGGTTTTGTTTGGGGAAAAGTTATTCTGTGCGGAAGCGGAACACCGTCTGGATGCCTAAGCCCGTGGCTCGATATGGCTGACGTGACTCATTCTGATTGGTATCCGGATGTAGAGCTGTGTTCGGCATCCGCACATAATAATTTCTCCTGTTTGAGACGGTTGTAATATAAAGCTGTCCCAAAGGAAGCCTTAATTTAAGATTAGTATTAGAGGCTTTAAAACATAAATCCAACTTCAGAATATCTAATAGGTCTAATCAAAACATGCCTAGTTTTCAATCTTACAAAGAAAAGAATGCCATATCCATATTTTGAAAGCACTTTAAAAGCTGCAGAAACCAGTAATTGAGAAAATTCATACCCTACTGAGATCATAGTCAATGCTTGCTGCAGTTAGGTGAGTTCTTGTAATCTGCTCGCCCTGCTGATGCAGGTTCACAAGAGTCTTTGAAGCATCTTCTCTGATCTCCTCAGCAACCTTCAGACAACCATTGATTTTCTCTGTTGTTTCTTCTGCCTTGCTTACACCATAATTTTCCAGTTTCACCACAGACTCGTTTTCATTGCCATTCTTGTTCTTGTTTTTCTCAAGAACTAAGCCTGATAGGCTACTGTAATTAGACTGAGGGGTTCTGTTTTGCAACCAGTAGGCTGAAGGAGATGAAGCTCTTGCAGATCTGCGGGTGTGTTCGAGCTCTGAATCTTGATCAAAAGAATTCTTGTTAGAAAACCCAGATCCTGCTGATCTCTGTTTGTACAACTTGGAGTTGGTAATCTTTGATACACTGACTCGAGATATGACGTCGGCCATTGGAGGTTCAATAAGCTGATAAAATTGTGCCAACAAACTGGTCAAATCAGGTTTTATCTGTGCAATATTGAGGCATGCAATGAAACAAGCAAAAGATTGCTTCTGCAATCCATAAAGAGTGAATAACACAACAAAACAAGCTCAAACATGTAGATTAATCAAATAGAGGAAGGAATTTTGATATATTAATAAACAGGGATGAAGAGTTTGATATCACATACCAAATATCTGAGGCTGATAGATTGCAGTTTAGCGTTTCAGAACTCAGAAGTAAAAGCAGAAACAAGAAGTACAAAAGTTTTCTAAATCTGAAATTTGATCTGCATCAACCAGCTCAATTCTAACAATCAACGTTAATAATTCATTAGCTGAGATCCTACAACTTACAGAAAACGATTCCAGGGTCGCTGGCATCCAAGAACACCCAAAATGTTACATTTAACGCTCTATAGAACGATGCAGAACTGAAGGCATAATCTTGACAAGGGGTAAACCTCCAAAACTGAGTACCGGAAAACTAATCATTAACTGAATAACTGTAAAATGCTTAAAGATTCCAATAACTTCTTTAAAACCAAACAGAAGAAAATGAAAATCTCGAAGGAGATGGAGACAAAAAGGTATGAAATGAAGTTCCTAAGAGTGCCAAATGGGCTTCCGATCTCAAGCAGAAGAGCTGTTAAGAAGGAAATGATTAAAGCGACGAGATCAAAGCAATGACTTTGTCCTTCTCTACGCGTTCTAATTGGATTGTGGAATACATGGAGGATTTCAGTCGTCAGTCTCCCAGAAGAAATCTGTATAGAAATTAAAAAAGCTTAAACTGTTGATAATCGCAATGCATTTGGCATTAACTACAGTTCTCACCTTGGAACATTAACTGCTTAGTCCATGCTAAGGGCATCTCCAATCGAACTCCAAATGCTTGAATTAGCAACATCGAACTCCAAACGCTTGAATGGCGTTGCTGCAGAACTCCAGCGGAACGGTAAAACTTCCGTTGTTTGCTTGCTGATGAACAGTGGGATGTCAATATTGGCGTTGCACTGTTCACTTCCGCTATTTTTCTGTCTCTACCTTACTTGTCGAAGAAACGCGTGAAAAAGAAGAAAGAACATTACTCTCACAAAATTGGTGTTCGATTGGATGAATCACGGCTTTTTTTTTAGTTTCACGGCATTTTGAAGTGAAAAATAAGATTTTTGGTTGGAGATGATCTAAACTAAACCTCCATATCAGTTTGCCACCTCATTTGAAATTATTCACGGCCAATTCATTAAAAAAAGATCATGAATTCAACAATAAGAATATCAAGCATTTATCTATATGATTTTTTTTCATTGTCTTATTAAAAATAAAATTCTCATTTAAACTTAATAAAATTAGATCATGACATGAATTTTTCATTGAAAAAATTATTATTTATTATTAACAAAATTAAATTTTAAAACATATTTATCTTGACCTAATGTTTGAGTTCTTTGATTCTAATTTCAAAATCTTGGCTTCAAAAGCTTAGGCTTTGTTCGAGGAAGTTGCAGTGCTTTGTAAAGTTGATTGAAAAGTTATTATGAAGAAAATAACTCTATTACTACATGGGATCGGCTATATGAATCTTTTTTCTCCGTTGTGTTTTGTTAAAAATAAAATTCTCATTTAAATCTAATAAAGAAGGTCATTTCTAATATTTTCTAATCAAATCTGTTTAGGACTACCCTTACGTTTCTTAACATGGGCCAAATCTAATACATCTACACTCCTAACAGGATCATCAAAAGGCTGTCGTTTTACATGAACAAACCATCTAAGGAGACTCTCTCTAATCTTATCTACCGTTGGAGCTACTCCAATATTTTCACAGATATGCTCATTTCATATCCTGTCTCTAAGCATAAATCCACTTATCCACCTGAGCATCCTTATCTTAGCAACACTTAACTTAATATTATGTTTCTTTTTTAATGGTCAACTTTCTGCGCCATAAAACATTGCAGGCCTCATCACAATCTTATAAAAAATTCCCTTAAATTTGAGCAGTACTTTTCTATTTTATACCTCTTATATATACCATATTGTACATAACACTTTTCTTTAATTAAGAGAAATAACATCAGTTGCAATCAATGACAAACACGAGTTGAATCATTTTAATAAGATTAGATCCATGGTTTTTTTCCTTTGCCAAAATTTTCACAAAAAAACTCTAGTGTCTTTTATAACGTCCCCTCTTCTATTTGTGTATGGGTTGGATCTTTATATAATGTTAAGACGTTAAACACTCTCTTTCTATCACCGCGAATGGTCTACATGCAACAAATCCGATTATAATTATGTTGATAATAGAAATATTTATTTAGTGATTATGACAAAAAATTTTGTTTTAATTTGTATACAAATATTCTTGTTTTTGTTTTAAGTTATATTGAGATACACTCTCATGATGATAGAAAATGGACAATTTATTTGAATATGTTGCAGAATAAGGACATTATTCCGCAATATGTGAAACTAAAATATAGTGTAGCTTGAAGGATTGATGCGATTATATAAAGAATATTGTACTTAAATTAAATAAATATTTATTTAGTGATTAAGACTGATATTTTCATATAAAAAATTAATCATGTTATTATACCTTAGGAAAAGAGAAAAAGCTTATTAATATATAAAAATAAAACATTGGTAAGGAAATATTGCTATTTTCATTTGTGCTAGTAGATTAATTATTTTGGGCAGACAATGGACGTCGTTCGGAGGCAAATCAGAGCACGTCACGTCACCTCCTTGCTATGTACCGAATGATGTGACGCTCTCTGATTCATAGTAATTTACTAATTTCTCTTGCTGGTGATAACTGAGGCTTTCCCAAGGAGTAAATGGCACTATTATATAATAGCAAAATAGCACAATTATTTAATATAAAAGTTTTTAAAAGATCAATTTTAAATTTATAAAAAGAAAATAATCTAATTAAGTGCCTCAATTTTTATCTACATTGTTATTTAAATAAAATTAATATTTCAATAAGACTAAATCAAATAGCTCTTTGTAAATTTACTTTTTTTAATTATAAAATTTTATTAAAGTAAATTAAAATATTATTGTTTTTTAATTTAACTTTTTATAAAAACATTTATAATTTTAAAAAAATATAGAACTGCCAATCCCAAATTCAATTGAAAAAAAATTAAGTTATTAGGGGGTTGAAGATTGAACTTAGCTTATATATAGTTTTCGATAATCAAATCTATTTTATAGAAATCTAAGGGTCTCACACTAGAGAGTTTTTCTTACTCTCAATATTTCTATATTATCTTTTTGCTCGATACTCTCCGTATATTTGGACATGATTCATGGATAATAATAAGCAAAGGGCCGTTTATTTGGTTGAATGCATAATTTGGTAGAAATGCAAAGAGAGATTTTGTCGAACAAATGTGGCCAATTTAAATTGATTAGCATGTTTGTGAAGAGAACAAAGCTCTAGTTGAGAACTTTTATTAGGTCCGATGTAAGGACGTAGAGGAACGTCCGGTCAGAAGCAAAATCCCGCCAAAAAACTCGGTATTTGCTCGGTATTGCTATGTATTATTTGATAATAACGAGGATTATCGCTCTGTGAAGACCAATACCTAGTTATACCGAGCTATACTGAGCAATACCGAGTTGTACTGAGTTTTTCTAGGAAAAACTCGGTACAACTTTTGTATAACTCGGTATTGCTAGGTATAGCTCGGTATAACTCGGTATTGGGTCTTCACGTGATGGTATTCCTCGTTATTGTTTGGTATTACTCGGTATTTCTAGTTTTTTGGCGCGATTTGGCCTCCAACCAGACGTTCCTCTACGTCCGATCGGAGGAAGTAATAATTGTTCCTATCTGAGGTCCTGATTGGGTACCCATATGGAACTCCAATATAGTTAGTCGTTGTCAATCAGACAAGTTTAAGGGGATCATGAGAGGGGATGTACTCCCTCCAAAATTTTAAGATGTTTTTATATATCACATATTTTTATTTGTGTAAAAATAAATTTCTTAAAAATATTCAATTTGTGCATCCTTCATACATTTAGGGGTCAAGAGTATTGATATGTGGTGAAAAATATAAATGAAAATTTTAAAATAAGTAAATAACTAATTATACCCTCCTAAAACAATCCTAGTTGGGCTTAATGAAGTTGGGCTTAATCAAGTCATTAGCCTACTTAACATTTCCTACACCATAATTGACCATCTTAACCATCAATTAATTCACAGTTAAAAAATGAAGACTTTGTTTGGGACGATTTTCTTAATACTTCTTAAAACAAATTTTTAATGTAAAAAAATTAATTTTTATACTAAAAAATTACATTAACAAGCAGTAAGAAAGCCGTCCCAAACGAAGCCGAAGTTTGATTTCTCTTAAGGAAAAAAAGGCAACTGACAACATTCATACAAGAAGTATAAAATTGTAGGAAAGACTCGAAATAACAGAACACAATAACTTGACCATAAAGGCCTAGCTTTCTATAAGATGCAAAAAAGGATAACCATTAAGGACGCAATCAATCTCTAGAAATAATTAAAACAATAATTATAAGGAACTATTAATTCCAAATCATTAAGCCACAGCAGGCATATCCTTGAGCCAGGGATCCAGAGGCTTACCAATTGCATAAACAATGAAGCCAATATCCCTCAGCTTCTCCACATCGACCACATTGCGGCCGTCGAACAAGAAGGCTGGCTTATGCATGCTATCATAAATCTTCTGAAAATCCAAATCCTTGAACTCATCCCACTCAGTCAAGATACAGACTCCATGAGCACCCTTGGTAGCTTCATATGCATCCCAGGCGACAGCCACTTCTCTGAAAGCAGTAGGGCTCAATGGCTGAAGGTGAATTGGATGGTCCCAATCGAACTTGTTCATCGCAAGATCGCGCTGAATCTGATCCTCCGTCACCTGGGGATCATAGATGCTGATTGACGCTTTATCGCCAAGCAAACCTTTGCAGACATCAATGGCGGGAGTCTCCCTCGTATCGCCGGTGTCTTTCTTGAACGCGAAACCGAGCACCGCAATTTTTTTACCAGAAACAGTGTTGAACATGGAGGAGACCACCCGGTTCACAAATCTGCTCTTCTGGTAGTCATTGATCTTGATGACTTGCTTCCAGTAATTGGCAACTTCTGGAAGACCATTGCACTCACAGATGTAAACAAGATTAAGAATGTCTTTCTGGAAGCAGGAACCACCAAAGCCAACACTGGCGTTCAAGAACTTAGGTCCTATTCTCGAGTCCTTTCCTACTGAATAGGCTACCTCTGTGATGTTGGCACCCGTGGCCTCACAAAGAGCAGAAATGGCATTAACTGAAGAGATCCTCTGAGCTAAGAAAGCATTGGCTGCTAGCTTTGACAACTCGGCAGACCAGAGATTTGTGGTGAGTATCCGCTCCTCAGGAACCCACTGGGCATAAACATCCTTCAATGCCTTCACAGCCTTACGGCCCTCTGGAGTCTCCCGGCCACCGATGAGCACGCGGTCGGGTTTGAACAGGTCCTGAATTGCTGTGCCTTCTGCAAGAAACTCTGGGTTTGAGAGGATCTGATAGTTGATACCTTTGCTATTATGGGTCAAGATTTTCTCAATGGCCTCAGCAGTCTTCACAGGGACTGTAGATTTCTCCACCACAATCTTATCAGATTTGGACACGTCGGCGATCATGCGGGCTGCACTCTCCCAGTAGGTAAGATCGGCAGCCTTCCCTGCACCTAGGCCGCGCGTCTTCGTTGGTGTGTTTACTGAGACAAAAATGATGTTTGCCTCATAGACATGTTTCTCTACGTCGGTGCTGAAGAAGAGATTCCTTCCCCTGCACTGCTTCACCACATCATCAAGGCCTGGCTCATATATAGGAAGCTGATCGCTGTTCCAGGCATTAATGCGAGCGACGGAGATATCGACAACAACAACCTCGACGGCGGGGCACTTGAGGGCAATGACAGCCATAGTTGGACCTCCCACATAACCAGCACCAATGCAGCAGATCTTAACCATTTTGTTTTCCTTGTATATGAACTGAAATGACAAACAAACAAAATGGTCAGGGACATTTCTTAGTGTCTTGTTTTAGCTGTAATGGAGCAACCTAAAACAAATAGGATCCCAAAATCATGAAATTATGCATGTAAACAGTGTCCAGAAGAATAAATATCTTGAAACAAGCATTGGAAAATAGGTATTACAAGAGAATAAGCTCAGGTGTGGAAGGTAAAGTGACAGCTAACAGACAAGAGGCTAATACAAAAATTTATAGGGAACAGTTTAACGTGGCTAAAAATGTATCACGTGAAAATCTCTGGAAAGGGTAAATATTTGTGGATGGACTTTTGACAATGACAGTAAATTGAACAAAAGTGGCACATTTCTTTTGAAGCTGGATGAAAGCCACTAAAAAAGAAAACGGTGCGTCGGTGGCGATTTCTCTAAAAGGACATTTTCTTCAGAAATGTATTGAATTCTAACAAGAAGAAATCATCAAATGGGGCTAAAAAGCATAATGTAACTACACAAAATATTTTTTGGGACATTTAGGCCATTAAAGGCAAACTCACACACAACTCATACACAAAGATTCGAACCCAAGACCTCTTAGTTGAAAGTCTAAGCTCTCTACCAACAGGCTAAGGTGATACAGATCCAAATAGTATATGAACACAAAAATATCATGCATTGAAAAAGAAAAAAAATCCAAAGTAGATCAAGTAAAACTTGATTGAACAAAAATAAAACTGGCACTAAAAACGGTCTTGAAGCTACAAAGAAGCTCAAAGATAGAAGATGAGGTGCAATTCGGTAAAATAAAATGAAAAATAAAAAACAGAAACTGGACCCTAAACAAATCATCATACTAGCGCAAATAAACTATAATGATAAAAAAAAACTATAATGATGGCCACGCACCTGAGATCGTCAACAATATTAGCAAATTATGAATGGATCTATGAATTTAGAATAAAAGCATAATAATCTATCTTCAGATCAAGGTGAAGAGAAAACTGATCTAAGAGAGAAATATAAAAACAACAATCTAAACAATACAAGCATCCAGATCCAGGTAAGAAGGGTGGCAAAAAGATCACATTTTGGAGGACCCTCTGATATGTTGGCATAATGGAATCAACAAAATACTTAACAGGCAAAAATTGTCCTGCTCTAATCAATCAGTATTCAAAAATTACCTCCTCAAAGTGATTCTACACCCCTTAAACAAGAGAGAAATAAAATGAGAAAGGGTGATACAGAGATGATGAAAGTGCTTCCATCTCCTTATAAATAGCATAAATCAATCCTGGATCTACCCCTCAAGCCCACAAGAAATAACCAAAGCCCAAAAAGTCAATTTGACAGCTAAGCTATAGTAATCATCACGTTTTCCAACGTTATTGCGAGGTACCAAACGTTAGAGACGTTTCAAGAAATTTACTCTCTCACTTCAACAGGCGCCGAACAGTCTTCCGTGGAAGAAAAAGGAATGTTTTGAGTGGGCTGCCGAAAATATCACCATCAGAAACTAAAGCTCAGAATGTGAAAGCACTAATCTTGATGGAACTATCGTCACTGATTTTGATGCTGTAAACACTAAACGTGGCTTATAAAATTTGTTGCCCTGTCCAACTCAACAAAGTACGATAAAGAAAATATTTATCTGTTTTTTTTTTCAACAAAGAAATCAAAAAACGGTTTTTGATTTAAAGCAATGCAAAATAATAAAAAAATAATAATAACAACAATCGCAAAATAATCATTTATTTAAACAATCAAATAAATTTTAGTGAATTTATAAAGCTCAATGTAAAATGAATGAATATTAACATTAACTCACTTATTCAACTATATTCGTACATAAATTGATTTATGACTAGTTTGCTCCATTCTAACGGGAAAAAAATGCTAATTGGTAGAGTGAACAGTGCAACACCAACACTGTTCACCTACCGGATTTTTTTGTCTAAATCGGATTTGTCGAAGAAACGTGCGAAAGAGGAGAAAGATGGTTACCTTCGCAGAAATGTGCAAAATGGAGTTCGATTGGAGATGAATCAAGACATTTTTTAGTTTCACTGCATTTTGGAGTGAAAAATGGAATTTTTGGTTGGAGATGCCCTTATTGTTTAAAAATAGCTCAATAAATGCTTATTTTATATTCATAATTCAATTTTTTCTTTTTTTAATTAAACATATTATCAAAACTAAGAGAATGATTATGATACATGAATTATTTTTCATAAATATTTAAATTTTATAAAATAACATGAAATAATACTTAATAAATTATATTAAATTCAATCATGACATGAATCTTGCCGATAAGGAATCGGCTGGAATACACAAATGCAATACCCATTGTGTAATCCACACGCAGTCATGCGCGCCTAAAAAATCAGTTACAGCCTCACCGAAGCCCAAGACAGATCTATGAAAACGAACGGGGGTTCCACAAAACAAACCTAAAAAGGGTAGAAAAAAGCAATCGCGCACATGATCCATACCAACCAAGGAAATAATGTATCTAAAATGCAAGAACAAGGACACACCAAACTGCTTGCAGAAGATTCCCAAAAGGCCAGGACGGTGGGAGAACCAAGCAAACAAATCCCACTTCCTTAAAAAATATGGGGGAAATGACCGGAAAACCTAAACTGCAAGCATTATTTCAGAATTAAAGCATTAAAATTAGGAAAAATATTTATAAAGAAAACAAGAATCGGAGCCATCGCAATCATGAGAACACGTGAATGATCTAAAATATACGAATGCGAGCATTTGATTTCATACGCTTCTGCATAAATAAACGCTAGAAACTGGATCAAGAAAGCATTTCGTTGGTTAAAAAAAGGAATAAGAAATGTTAGCAACCGGGGTATCAGATTGTCGGTGAATCGAAAAAATAGCAGGCTTTGAGCAAGATTCAAGCTATGTGGTGGATCTGAGGGCGGAGAAAAACCTAATTCGAAGAAAAAGATGGAGGATTCGAGCGTGGGCTCCGCGGTGGGGAAACGACACCAAAGCTTCCCAAAAGTAGAGAAGATGCGTTCGATGAAAGCTTCAAGAACACTGCAGAATTGCACCCCACAAAACACACGCTTACAACAAAAAAATAAGGAAATTAAATAAGAAATGGAGAGCGACGGAGAGAAGAAAGAGAGAGCGACGGAGAAGGACCGTACCTCGTTTCTCCAAACAACGGGAAAAAGGAGAGCCGTAGTTAATTATAGGGGGTTTTACATATCTACCATTTTATTTTATGATATGTATATATCTAATATCTAAAATATTAATAATACATAACTATCAACCATAGAATAAATTTGGATGAATGTAATGAAATATTAAAGTTTATAGAATTGTATGAATGATATAAATAAATTATAGGAGTGATATATTTGATATTAAAGTTGTATATGGGTGGTATGCATGTAATATTAATTTTTTGAATGTTAGATATGTAAATAGCGTAAAATAAAGTGGTATGTATGTAAATTTCCCTTAATTATATTTCCTTACACCGCTGTAATTAAAATTTGTTTAAAATGTTTAATTATATTCCCTATAATTATCCTCATAATTGAGTTTCTAAAATCTTAGCTAAAATTTTTTATATGTTTTGAAATTATTAAATTTATTTTTTGATTAATAAAATTTATATATATGAGTCATTTTTATTACATTATTTTTTAAATAATTATAATAAATTTTAAGCATATTTAATATAAATTATATCAAATTAATAAGATATTATATGATCTTACTATGAATAGGTTAATACATGTTCAAATTAAAACAAGTATTGATAATTAGGCGTTGTTTAATAATTAGAATGTGAAATGTATGACTTTTAAAGATTTGATTAGATTATTAGCACTCAATAATTTCATGATTATTTATTAATCATATATATATATATATATATATATATATATAATAATAATAAAGTTAATTTAAGCGAGGTATCTTTAACTTTCATATTTTAAATTAAAAACAAATAAATATGAAGTATATCAAAAAATGGTCATACAATTTTTTTCCTTAAATATAAATAGAATTAATTAAATTCAGGAATTCAAGTCAAATGTACTAAATTTTGATAGATTATGTGCGGGCTAAGCCGAGGCTTAAGATTTCTCTAAAAAATTTGAGAGTAATTTATGCTAAATCTAATCAAGATCATTAAGGAATAGAAGAAAATAATCATTTTGGGGCTTTTTTATACTCATGTATAGATTCTCATATGATTAACAAATAGTCAATGATTCATGACAAAAACAAGGAAGCTCAAAATGCTCGCCATCCAACATGGTGGGGATACTATTGATCTCACTCACTCACGACTTCAAGAACAAGGAAGGCGCCTACACAATATGACTTCTAACTCACCTTGTTATAATCAATTGACCATAAAATTCATTTTCCCCCATAACTTAAGCTCATTCGCCTTTCTCTGTGGGGTGATATAAAGTTCTAGAATAGGTCGCCAGTAATCTCTAGGTGTCAACCAATCTTAGCTCTCTCAATTTAGTACTCGCCAATAAACTTGCTCGTGTGCTCTTTGCACTATTGAGCTTGCTCAAAGATTGATAAGCTATGTTTAAGGAAGACAGTTCTTACTCCAGTTAGCCAAAGTGCGATACATTACGGAGGCAATCTATAAAGCAATTGAGCCATGTTCTTTATATTCATTGATATACTATTTCTTGTAGCCCTCAAATCCTTAGAAGTAAAGGGCGAATAAAAACATTTTAGTTCTTTTTGAATCTTGATAAACACTTATTTATATTTTTATTACAAACATTTAAGTTCTTTTTGAATCTTGTCTAACATTGAGATAATTTGAAGTTAATTAGTCATTAATGACTTTATTAGTTAGTCATTAATGACTTTATTAGTTTATCCATTATTTAAAATTAGTTTGGCAATAAATGAGCGTTGAGGCATTACAGAATCAAAGTAAGCTTCATTCTGCTTCAAAACTAATGGAATTTTTCCACTCAAACATTAATGAAGGGATCAATTATTCTAAGAAATAATTAAGTTTCAAACAAGAGAAGAAAGTATAGTTTAATTAAGCAATTAGAAGTCAACAAATCAATGCAAATTAATGCGACGTCTCAACTGAAGGATAAATATTCCACCTAATTAGCAATTAAGGTATTGGTTAGTATTAATTAAGGGTTAGTTAAGCATTAATTTACCACTGTTGCACAGTTGATTGCGAGAATCAAATCTCTTAAGCATTTTGACGCATCATTAATGAGAGCTCACGACTGATCTAAATGTAGGTGTCTCAACCACTATCTTAAATTTTCTTAAACTTCGGCTTCGTGTGGGGCGGCTTTTTTATTTCTTCTTAAAAAACTTATTTTTAGTAAAAAAATTATTTTAAGAAGCAGTAAAAAAGCCATCCCAAATTGATTTCTAAAGTGGCTTTTTAGTTTAAAAAAAATTAATTTAATAAATTTTTGTACTAAAAAACTATTTTGACAAGCAGTAATAAAGCTGCCCCAAATGAAGCCTTAGGGGTTTGATTTACTTCATTAATTGCACGTGTAAGATAGGGAAAATATATATGTTTTGATAATTTAGGGGTTAATAGGGTGCATTTTCAAATTGAATATAATTGATCAGTAAATTTGAAATTCGCCGTATAGTTTATTTTTTATGCATTCCAAAATCGATGAATTAAGTCGATTTTCAAATACAACATAAATTTTTTGCCAATCTCTTCCACGCTCGTAGCCACCAACACCCATCATCGAGTGAATTTAATTTTTTTAGCTTTGGATGAAGATCCAGACACATGCACGGGTAAAATTAAAAGAATGTGAGAGATCCTATTTTTTTGATGAAAATTTGATAAGGAGAAAAATCATGAGGTTTGACCTTATAAAAATAGTTTCACTCAGTACGTTAGTTACAATTCACTCGATCGGTTGCAATCCAGTGATGCAATGATGGTGGTTAAGCGATATCGGTTTTATAATGGAGGTCGAGAAACGATAGTCCGTTGATAGTGATTGGGTGGCGAAGGTTGTCCAATGGAGGTGTTCTGGCGACAGTGGTTGGGTGATGATACTTCTACGACAGAGGTTGGTGGCCCAACAATGGAGGTTGGGTGGAGCGGGGCGAAAAAAATTTGACGATAGTTGAAGTATTTTGATGGCGATGATCAAGCTGTGATTCTATGGAGGTGATTAGTTGGTAACGAGAGATGGTTTGATCTGAAATACTCCATCGAATGATCCATATTGATTCTTTTGATCGTAGATTATTTTTCAGTATTTAAGTACTTGAATTTTTCTCTCTCGATAAAAAAATAAAATAAAATGTTATTGAGAAAAAAGGACTAGCTGCAAAGTCATTGACATACCGTAGTAGTAAGGAGATAAAAAATTTGTCAACAATGAGAAATCAAAGGAGTGGCCAATCCGTAAAAAACTGTCGTTTTTTCAACGGATGCGATCAATGTGATGTTTATACATTTAGGTTTTATATATTTGGGATAATTTTTTTTTTTAAATAAATTTTTTAGTATAATTTTTTTTTAAAGTGGTGTTAAAAACAAAAATAAATTTTTATTGACATTTTTTTATTATTCAAATCTAATCTCAACAATTTTTTTTTTTAAATTATTATTGATTTATAGGCCTCTAAAAAAAAATCTCCAATACGATCCATCGTCGTCCACCGACTACGGTCGTTCTGACCACCATCACCCAATATGTTCATTCCAATCTCTGTCGCCGGCCGACTACGGCCTTTCTGATTATCGTTACCCGACTATGATCTTTCTATTATTTGTCGCTCGCCGACTATGATCCTTCTGATCCCCGTCTCCAGACAACGGTCTTTACGACCTCCGTCGCCCCCTGACTCTTGTCCTTCCAACCTCTGTAGCCAGATTATAGTCTTTTTGACATGTCAAATGCCGATTATGGTTATTCTGACCTCCATCTCCTAATAATGGTCTTTCCGACCTCTGTCGCCCGCCAACTACGGTCATTACGACCTTCGTTGCCAATCGACTATGGTCATGCCGACCAATTGAACATGTTAATTCTGATTCTTCTAATTTCCACCATGTAATGCAGTCTGTATGTTGTATATTTGCTACATCAAACCAAGGCCTTCCCCCAAGAAAGGACCTTATTTGTAATTGATTGCAAACACTAGTGGATGCATTCAAAGTGAGCCAGATCCATGGTTTTTCCCCCTTTTCAGGGGATTTTCCACATAAAAAACTCTGATGTCTCTTATGAATGCTACACCCTTTCTTTATCTAATTGTGTGCTAGATCTTCGTATAAAATTAAGACGTTAAAGTTTATATTTCTCTACGGCCACGAAAATTTTAGGACGCAACATTACTCATTGAAGAACTCGTTTAGATGCGTGGACGCTCATCAAGGCATTCACAAAGTCAACTAGATACCATTAAAACTCGTTAAGCAATTGTTTTTAGTTTTTTTTTTTTAATGAATCAAATACAAATAGAGCCTTATTCTATATTAATATATCACAAAAAATCTTCTTGATCCAGCACAGAGCTTGAGGCTTATCTTAGTTGGCAACTTTTAAAATTAAATTCGGGATCATCCGAACACTGACTTCAACAAAATTATAATCGAATTTAATGTCTCAGTAAGACTAGGGGTGTCAAAATCTAACCCGACCTGAAACCCAACTCGAACAATTTTGGGTTTGGGTCAACTCGTTTTCCATATAAGTTGGGTTCGGGCTCGATATTCGGACCCGTTTAAAAATTGGGTTAAGTTTGACCGGTAAACCAAAATCAACCCGAGTTTGACCCGCCTCGCATCCGTGTAAACCCTCTGACCTATGTGTTCCACTGACGGCAGGCCCTCACACTCTAATCGTGTATGCGTAAGCCAGTGTAGCGTCCCTTGGCTGCTGGCCCTCTCGCACGTGGTCCCAACACGCACGGGCTGCACACGAGCTAGCCTTGGCCTCGCCCAAACGTATGGTCGCCCCACACTGTTCAAGGCAGTCCTCGCAAACCTTGCCCGTAGTTCGTAGTCTTACCCGTGTGCTGGGCTCGCCCCACACTGGTCTC